GAATGCTGAATGGGATGTGGGTACCTGGATAGGGGGCCCGGCAATCCTGAAAAAAAGAACAGCTCCCATGAATGAGCACTCACTGTTCCAGGCACTGGGCAGAGTGCTGGGCTCACACTGGGTCTGCGAATCCTTAAACCTGGAGGAAAGCGAGGGTCACACCTGTAAAATAGACGCCCCAGCATGAACCTGTGTAGAATCTCTGAACCTGAAACCTCGTTTTGGGACGAAAACTTCATCCAATTTTTGACACAGGGACTTCTGAACTATTGAACTGGACAAGGGCGTCTGACGGAACACAGAGCTGCTGCACCCCCATTCTTTTTTTTCCCTAAAGATTTTATTTATTTGGGGCACCTGGGTGGCTCAGTTGGTTAAGCATCTGCCTTCAGCTCAGGTCATGATCCCAGGGTCCTGGGATCGAGCCCCGCATCGGGCTCCCTGCTTCACGGGAAGCCTGCTTCTCCCTCTCCCACTCCCCCTGCTTGTGTTCCCTCTCTCGCTGTGTCTCTCTCTGTCAAATAAATAAATAAATAAATCTTAAGAAAAAAAAAAAGATTTTATTTATTTGACAGAGAGAGAGCACAAGCAGGGAGAGCGGGAGAGGGAGAAGCAGGCCCCACCACACAAGGAGCCCACCATGGGGTTCGATCCCAGGACATTGGGATCATGACCTGAGCCGAAGGCAGATGCTTAACTGACTGAGCCACCCAGGTGCCCCTCCACGCCCATTCTTGATAAAAATCGGATATTTTCCTGGTAACTGTCCTCACGTAAAAGAAACCTGACGTACTGTAAAATGTCATTCTGTCTTCCAATCATAATGTTTGGAAAACAATTTGTGTGGTCTTCCTAATACTTCTGCAATTTGCTAATGAAGACCCCTGGCTTTTACTCCTCAACGGGACACAATTTGGGTTGCTCCCTAAATTTGTGCTCCCCAAATTACAGTTCTCAGACCCCCATTTTGTGTGGGCACAAAATGTGTACAGGATGGTTCTCCAGTGCCAGTGGGGCCTGACTGATGGGAGGAATGGTGGTGCAGCCAGGCTGGGGTGGGGTGGGACTCTGCAGTTCGAGTCCACAAGAGAAAGGAAGCCAGAGGTCTGTATGGCTGACTGCCCAAGCAAAAGAAATAGGCAAAGAGCCCAGTGAAAATAATTCTAAACATGCAGGGGCATGTGTGTGTGTAAAATCTATTCCTACGGGTTTTTGGTTTTGGTTTGTTTTTTTTTTTTAACGTCTCTGAAATCGTGTTGTTTTATAATCAAATCCATGGTATCTTTAAGTCAATGAAAGGAAGCAGAACAGAGGGGGCGGGATGGGGGTGTGTGTCCATGACCCCCTGGAAGAGGTGGGACTTTCACTTCTTACTTAGAGGCTGGCTGGCTGGCTGGCTTGCTTTCTTTCTAAAAATAAAACAAGCACCTATTACTTTATACGTAAAACAATTTTAACACGGATGTACCTTGAGGACATGATGCTAACTGAAATAAGCCAGTCACAAAAAGACAAATATTGTATAATACTACTGATATGAAGTCTCTAGAGTGCTCAAATTCATGGAAACAGAAAGCAGAATGGCAACCAGGGGCTGGGTAGGGAAGGGGAAATTCAGAGTTACTGTTTCATAGATTTCGACTTTCAGACACATGAGACGAGAAAGTTCTGGAGATGTTTTACAAGGTAAGTGTACTTAACACTCCCAAACTGTACACTTAAAAACGGGTATGTAGTAAATTTCATGTGGTTTTTACCACAATAAAAAGAAGGTTTTTTGTTTTGTTTTGTTTTTGTTTTTGTTTTTTTAAGATTTTATTTATTTATTTGAGAGAGAGAGAATGAGAGACAGAGAGCATGAGAGGGAGGAGGGTCAGAGGGAGAAGCAGACTCCCTGCCGAGCAGGGAGCCCGATGCGGGACTCGATCCCGGGACTCCAGGATCATGACCTGAGCCGAAGGCAGTCGCTCAACCAACTGAGCCACCCAGGCGCCCCTAAAAAGAAGTTTTAAAATCTTAAAAACTGGGGGGAAAAAACAATTTTAAGTACCTATTTTATTCTGCATTCTTGTCTCAGCCATATTGAAGTCTCTGTGAAAAACACAATTTTGCTTTTTTATAATTCTATTTGAGCAAGTTGGACGTTCAATGAGCTCTCCAACCAACCAAATTTCTGTGTTTGGGTACTTTTTTTATTTTGTTTGTGTATGACCTGTGGATTTTCCACTAATGCTGGGATATTGAAGTGTCAGGACTTTTTTCCCCAGCTGCAACTTAAAAAAAAAGGAAAAAGGCAGGGAGGAAGAGAGGGAGGAAGAAGGGAAGGCGAGCAGGGGGAGGGGGAAAGGGAAAAAATTGCATGGAGGAAAAATCTGGAACATTATATCTTAGACTGTTAACAGGGAATAGGACCAGGCGATACCCTCTATCCTGTATCATTTGTATGGTTTACGTTATTTTGTAACGTGAAAAAAAACAAAAACAAAAACAAAAAACCTGGGGCACCTGGGTGGCTCAGTCAGTTAGGCGTCTGCCTTTGGCTCGGGGGTCCTGGGATGGAGCCCTGCATTGGGCTCCCAGCTCAGAGGGTAGTCTGCTTCTCCCTCTCCCTCTGCCCCTCCCCCTGCTTGTGCTCTGTCTCTCTCAAATAATCTTAAAAAAAAAAAAAAAACCCTAAAAACATATAAAATGAAACCAATTTTTTAAATATTTAAAAAATATTTTGGTTAAAGAAAGAATCCCAAGGCTTGAAACGAGCCAGCTGGGGGGAGGCTGACTCTGGGGCAGCCTCACTCTGAGGCTCACAGCTGGAACCACGCAGAGCCTAGCTGCCCCAGGCGGGCGCTGAGCTGAGCATTGTAGGCAACAGCTGGAGTGGCTACTTTCAGGAAGGACACGTCAGGTCTGCAGATGGTGGCAGATGCCCCCAGCCCCAAGGGGGTGGGGGTCAGGGGTAGAGGCCTGGGGTCAGGGGTAGAGGCCTCAGGGATGCACAGGGATATGGGGGGCTCTGAATCTCAAAGGAAGAGGTAGGTTTGGTCCTGGCCACACTGGGGAGCCAGTGAAGGTTTCAGAGCAGAGAGGACCATAGTGAGGTCGCTTTAGGAAGTTAGTTTTGGCAGTGAGTGGACCAGTCTCTGCTGGGTCCCATCTGAGGCAGTGAGTTTGTGGGGCTGAGGGCCCCGTGCCTCCTGCCCTCAGCATCTTCCCAAGTCCTACCTTCTGATGCTAAATTGAACTGTCCCAGGGTCCACCCCCAGCAACCAGTGCCCCTCTTTTTTTTTTAAGATTTTATTTTAACAGAGAGAGCACAAGCAAGGGGAGCGGCAGGCAGAGAAAGAGGGAGAAGCAGGCTCCCCACTGAGCAGGGAGCCCAACACAGGGCTCGATCCCAGGACCCCGGGATCATGACCTGAGCTGAAGGCAGACGCTTAACTGACTGGGCCCCCCAGGTGCCCCACCAACCCCCCTCTTAATGCCCTCCTATGGCACCTCCCTTCATGCCCACAAATGAGCAGACAAAAGGGCCACAGTGTTCTGGGAGAGAATCTACCTAGAAACCTCTGCCTGCACCCAGATTCCCAGAAGCCTTTGTGTGGGACTGAAAGTGTGCCATATTGCCATCTTACCATTCCCTTGCAGGGCCTTAGGCCCCCCACGTAAGGACTTTGCAAGGAGTCCCTGTCCCTCTGACAGGCCAACCACCACCACCATTACTGTACCTGGTGAGCCCCAGGTCTGGGCCCTGCAACGTCCCGGCCTCCTGTCCATCCTGCTGCCGTCCAAGGGCTGTGACTTAGCCCATCTCGTGCTGATACTCAGGGCCTTTTCCCATCTAGCCCCAAACAGCCTCATTTCCCACTGCTCCCTCTTCTGTGGCCTCGCTGCTGACTTGAGTGAGGCTGTGGGTCCCCCCACCAGGTTTTGTTCGGGCCATTCTCCTTCCCTCACCAATTGCACCTAACGCAGCGCAAGACACGTGACGGCATATTGCATGAACCTACACTTGGGCGAGAGACAAAAGCAGGGTGCCCCTCTTGCCTCCCAGCTCTGTGGCCCACCCTCCCAGCTGGCCCTGTGCCCGGGGAGAGCTCCTCCCCCGAGTCCCCGCAGCCCACCCTGGTCTCACACAGCGCCCTTTGTCAGGCCTCCGCTCCCAAGGGCATCTTATCTGCCTAAACAGGTTGTAATCTGCCAGGGTCAAGGACCCCCTTCCTCCTGCCAACTGGGAGTAAACAAACCCTTTTGCCTAGAGGGTGGTGGCAGCCCTGTGGAGTCCAGGACTCACCAGGCTCCTCCCAGGGCTGCAGCCGTGCGGCCTCCTCCCCCCTGGGCCCTGCAGGAAATTTCCACTCCCTGCCCTCAGCGCCCCCAGGCCCTAGAACCAAACTCTGAGACCCCCGCCCCCAGCAGTCTCCCCTTCATCGTGCTGCTCTGGCTTCCTCCCTCCAGTCCCCTGAAGCTGCTTTCGCGACAGCGCTATCATGCCCCCTCCCCCTTCTCCCTGCCAGAAGCACTGCCCCCCGAACTTCTGCAGGCCTCCTCCTCCTCCTTCAGGCCTCAGAAGAATGTCACCTCTACAAAGTGCCCTGTGTCATTGTCCCGCAGTGCTTAGCACCCTCCAGAGCCTGTCTGGGACAGAACTGCCACAGGGCCCCTCCCCTTCCTAGAACTCCCTAGAACCTGGAGAACAGTGCCTGGACCTGTCTCACCCATGAGTGAACCAGGGCTCTGAGAGGTGAAGTGACTTGCCTGAGACACAGGAACGGGGGAGGAGGGACTGGAAAAGCCAGGTGGGCTTGGTTCTGGGAACCCCACACACCTCTGGAGCTGCAAGGCCTCCACCCAAGCTGCAAAATACATGACTCACTGGCCGGCTGCAAAAGCTGGCCATCCTGTGTGTGAGCTCCGAGCCTGGAGGGTGTGGGCACTGTCCTGAGGAAGCCCACAGCAGGACCAGAGAGAGCCAAGCTGGATCCAAGAGACACAGGAAACAGAACCAGAGCTTAGGTGCATTTATTCCTGTACAAATCGTTACAAAACCAAGTGTGGGGTAGTCGCCGGCTCCCAGCCCCCACCCCAATGTGCAAAGGCTTGCTGCTGGCCTCTTCCTCCTCCACCTGACCCCTCCGGCTCCACAGCCTCCTCCAGGAAGCCCTCCAGTCTTCCCTTCCAGGCTCTGGAAGAGCAGGGGCAAGCCCACCCCACTGAGGTCCAGCAAAAAAGTGCCTGATGTAGAGTGAGGGGGCAGGACCCAGGCGACGTGGCTCCTGGTCCCCTGAGAGCCTTCCCAGGCCCAGCTGAGGGGAGACCCTTGGACGACTCCAGCAGCTGCAGACAAAGGGACTGCATGAAACCCCAGTGTGGCTGGGATTCCCCTTTCTCAGCCCCAAAGGCTACTCCAACAGGTGGAAAGCCTCACTGCTGGATGGCAGAAAAGGGAGCCTGGCTCTTTAAGAGCCAAACTAATGGCAGCTGAGTGGAGGGACTAAGAAAACAGCTGAAGGTTTGTCCCTTTCCTATTAGACTCCCCCCCAAACCCTGTGGGAGTTTACGCAAAAATACCCTAAGTTTCCAGGAGGAGGTGAGGAAGGGGACTCTAGACTCCCAGGGAGTTGAGCCCCCCAGCAAGGGGTGGTGCTGGAGGGGTCCAGTCTTAGGGAAGACAGACCCAAGGAGGTCAGTGGGGAAATTAGGAGGGGGCCTCAGACTCCACGTTAGAACCTGACACAGGCAGGATGGCGACCAGAGAGGGGGCAAGGGTTTTGTCCAAAGCCACTCAGGGCAGAGCCAAGACCCGGATGCTGGCTCCCACCTCTAGGAGCCACCGCCCCCCCCAAGCACCCCACAAATGCCCTGGCCTGGCCTCCGGACACAGCTCCCACTCCCGTGCAACCCTCTCTTTCTGGCTCTGGGAAGTGAGGGAGCAGCACAGAGCTCCCAGCTCCGGACAGGACCCCCTTGTCCCAGCCAACAGGGAATGTTGGGGGGGTCCATCCTGGGGCTCTGAACCAAGGCCTCGTGGGAAAGCACATGTCCTTAGCCTCAGATAACTTCAGAAATACCCTGATTGACTATGCTCAGACCCTGACTGGACAAGAAATACCTCCAACACCCCTGATTAACCACATAGCTGAAATCCCTGATTGGTCAAGAGATACCCCCAGGCCCACACTGGCTGGAGGATACAAGGCCCTGATTGGCCCGAAGACACTCCGGCCAGCCTTGATTGGCCAGGAGATGGCCCTTGGTTGAGTGGCTGGGAGGAGAGCGGCCTCTGGCGCGCCCCCGTGAGAGGTCCACAGGCAGGGCGGCCTAGGCCCAGGAGGGGTGGGAGAAGGTGATTCCATACAGCTGGGCCCAGGAGGAGAAGACCCTCTTCTCGGTGATGAAGCGGTGGTGGTTGCCCTTGCGGCTGTGCTCATTCTGGATGTAGGTGACACACTCGTCTGGCCCCTTGGGCTCATAGTAGTGGTAGGGCATGCGCTGGCGGCGGGGCCGCTGGCTGGGGCAGAGCAGATGGGAGCGGTCAGGGCAGGGGGAGGCACCAGTGGGGCCCTTGCGCTCACCAGCTCCTGACTTGCTAGAGGACTTCAGTGGGGGAAATCCCTGCCCCTCCCAGAGCCTCAGTTTCCCCATCTGTAAAATGGATGTAGGGTGGACTAGATTTATGACCACCCAACTTTTTTTTTTTCTTTTAATATGATTGAAACTTTTCCTTTCCTTAAGAGGGTGGTGGTGTAGGGTAGCGGTAAGAAGTAAGGGCTCTGGAGCCTGGCCCCAGTGCTTACTGTTTGTGGGACCTTAGGCCACTCACAAAACGTCTTCCTCAGTTTTTCTCATCTCCGGAACAGAAAGAATAAGGCAACTGTCCATTAGGGTTCCTGTGAGGAGTAAATGACCTAACAAATGTAGCCAGGCCTGGAACATGGTCAGTACTCGGTGAAGAATAGCTGTCACCTAGCGGGCTTGTTGTATAATATTATTAATGATAGTGATTATTAATATACGAACTCTGGACTCTGGCTGAGTTGAGGGGAGGCCCCTGAGATAGGTAGCCCCACGAAGCCTAGATCTCCACAGAGCAGTTTGAATACCATTAAATAGAGGCCCTCAAAGGCACCCCCCAGCCAAAGTTTCTGGGGTTCCATCCTGCAGCCAGTGACTGGGTGTTGTTGGGAGGGGGGGCTCACCTGCAGTAGTCGGGGGGGACCATGCCATAGACGTGCACGTGGTCACACAACTCTACTGCAATCACCATGGTGAACCAGCCGGTGCTCAACCACGAATGGGACTTTTCCCTGGGGGCAGAGAAGGGGCATGATGAAGGGGCATGCAGATGGGAAGGAATGGTCAACCCCACCTGGAGCTTCCCAGAAGTCCTCCCACGCCCCCTCTATTGGGGCCCTCTCCCCACTTCGGTGACCCCCTAGTCCAGCCCCACTGTGGGAGCATGTACATGCTGGCAGAGGGGTGGTCTGGGCAGAGATGCGGGGTGTGGGGAGAGCTCCTTTGAAAGAACAGCGCATGCTGGGAATCAACTCCTGGGGTGATTAGTCACAGTAGGGCAGGTTGCAAGTGACCATGAACTTACTAGACTCATGGTCTTGCTTGACGGAGCTTGCTAGAAGCCGCTGTGCCCACACTAGAAGCAAACGCCTAACGGGAGCCTCATCAGAGAAGGCCACGCTGTGACCACAGGTTCAGAGCAGGGCATGGAAAGGAGCCAAGGGCCTAGAACGGAGCTGCCCACTAGAGCAGCCAGGAGCCACATGTGAGCACATGTGGGCACATGACGTGTGGCTGAAATGTGCTATCAGTATAAATATGAACAGGATGCTTTAGTATGAAAGAACGAACACAGAAAATGTCACTGGTAGTTTTTGACTATATGTTGAACTGAAAATAGTTTGGATATATTTGATTGAAGGTGGTTCTTTGGGAAGTTTAAAAAGAAAATAAACCTCTCGCGAGACTGACAAAGAGAGAAAAGACACAAGTTACCGATATCAAGAATAAAACAGAGGATATCATCACAGACCCCGTAGACATGGGAAGGGCAATAAGCAAACCATAAACAATTACATACACAAATTTCCCAACTTAGATGAAGTAGGCCAATTTCTTGAAAATCAGAAACTACCAAAACTCAGCCAAGATGAAACAGATTAACCTGAGTATGTGTGACTATTAAGAAATTGAATTCATCGTTCAAAACCTTCGAAAAAAAAACTCTCCAGGCCTAGATAGTTTCACTGGCAAATTCTACCCAACATTTAAAGAAGAAATAACACCAATTCTACACATTTTCTGAGGCCAGCATTACCCATAAGACCAAAGTCAGGTAAAGACAGTGCAAAAACAAAACTATAGATCGATATCTCTCATGAACACAGACACAAAAATCTCAACAAAATACTAGCACATCATATCCAGCAATATATAAAAATAATACACCACAACCAAGTGAGGTGCTGTATTATTGGTGGTGTAACAACCAGTTTATTCCAGAAAAGCAAGTCTGATTCAATATTCAAAAATCAATCAATATTCAAAAATATATATGGTAGTATAATCCACCATAGTAATAGCCTTAAGGAAAACCACATGATCATATCAATTGAGGCAAAAAGAACACGTGATAAAACTCAATATCCAATAATGATGAAAACTCTTAGCAAATTAGAGAAGGGAACTTCTTCAACCTGATAAAGGACAGCTAAAAACTCTACAGCTAACATCTTATTCAATGATGAAAGACCAAATGCTTTCCCACTAAGACTGGGACCAAGGCTACTCTCCCCACTCCCCACACAACTTGACCTTGTATCAAAAGTCCTGGCCAGTGTAATAAGGCAAGAAAAAGAAATAAGATGTATACCCATTGGAAAGGAAGAAATAAAACTGTTCTGAATTACATGTCCTTGCAACATGACTACGTGTAAAGAAAATCCCAATGAACCTAGAAAAATCTCCCAGAACCAATAAGTAAGTTTAGCAGGATTATAGGATATAAAGTCAAAACACAAAAATCAATCGTATTTCTGTATACTAGCAATGAATAATTAGGAACCCCTAAAATTTTAAATATAATTTGTAATAGCTCCCTCAAATCTTAAATATTTAGGGATAAATCAAACAAAGTAAAGGATCTCTATGCTGGATGTATTGGGTTACATAAAATATATTAAAATTAATTTTACCTGTTTCTTTTTACTTTTTTAATTTGGCTACTATAAAAATTTAAATTACATATATGGCTTGCATTCTATTTCTATTGGATAGCAGAGGCCTAGCTGCTTTGGGGAGATCAGCCAGAAAAGGACATGCTGGGAAAGATGTATCCTTAGGCTAGAGCATGCTGGGAGCAACTACTTGCCTAAAGCAAGACATGCTGGGTACAGTGAATACCTGCCACGAGCTGTGGGGAGCTCTCCTAGAAAGATGCTAGGCATGTGCCACCTTAGAGCAGAGCATGCTAGGAGCCCTGTTTCCTCAGAGCAATGCATGCTGGGAGGAAGCCCTCCTGGGGAGACAACACAATGCAGAGCATGTTGGAAGTGACTCCTGCTAGGGGCTGGACATGAAGAAAATTCCCGAGGAAAACCTAACCAGAGGGTGGCAGGAAGTGACCACGCCCTGAGAACAGTGCATGCTAGGAATAACACGCCCTCTGGGCAGAGAATGCTGAGGGAGAGCACAGGGCTGGCCAGAGGGGGCAGGCAGGAGGCTGGTACCTGTCCTTGCCCGTCTCACCCCGGAAGAGGTCGTCAAATTGGCGCATGCGGCCGGGAGAGACGGCATAGGCCTCCATGTTGGGGAACACCAAGCCTGCCCGCTGGATGACACGCACAAGGCTGCCCTGGGGCTTCTGCATCTTGTTCGGCGGCCCCCAGAAGATGAACACAGTTTCAGGGGTCCGGTTGACGAACTCCTGGGGCCTCCGCAGCACACGGAATACGCTGGAATGGGCTACCACACGGAAGGTGGTCTTGTTGCCTACGTCGGCTGAGTAGCCCGTGGTGGGCGCGTCGTTCATGCGGATTGTGCACTCGGCTCGTTCAATCTCGGGGCCCAGCTTGGTTCCCAGCAGGTGGCTAGAGCTGGTGACAATCACACACTGGTGGCACCGGGAGGGCAGTGTCTGGGAGGGGGCAAGGAAAATCAACACTGTCTGTCACATCCACTCAGTGCCAGGCCCTATGCTCTGTACATCCAGGCCTCTAGGAGGCAGGAATTATTTTGCTCATTTTATTTTATTTCTATTCATTTATTCATTTATTTATTCAGAGAGCGCGGGGTGGGGGGGTAGGGCAGAGGAGAGGGAAAGGGAGAGAAAGAATATTAAGCAGGCTCCACGCCAAGCGCGGAGCCCAATATCGGGCTTGAGATCATGACCTGAGCTGAAATCAAGAGTTGACCGCCCAACTGAATGAGCCACCCAGGTGCCCCTATTTTGCCTTTTTTTTTTTTAATTTTAATTATTTATTTGACACAGAGAGTGAGAGAGCACAAGCAGGGGGAACAGTAGACGGAGAGGGAGAAGCAGGCTCCCCGCCAAGCAGGGAGCCCAAAGCGGGGCTTGATCCCAAGACCCTGGGATCATGACCTGAGCCAAAGGCAGATGCTTAACCATCTGAGCCACCCAGGTGCCCCTATTTTGCCCATTTTAAAGACAGGGAAACTAAAGGCTATTCACTTGATATTCAACAAATATTACAGCAAGCTGGCTAATGGCCAAATACCAGGGACAGAGCAATGAATAAAAGGGACCCCACTCCTGCCTTCAAGAGGTTCACGGTCAGAGAGACAGACAGTAAACAAATAAAAGACAAACTAATGATAGGTGGTGAGTAAAACATGCTACAAAGACAATACAATAGGGGCAAGGGATCAAGAGGGACAGGAGTGGGGACTACTCTAGAAAGATCACTGGGCGGGGGGGGCTCTCGGAGTTGAGACCTGGAGGATGAAAAGGAACCACGTAGGAAAGTACTCAAGGCAGGAGGAACAAGCAAGACCAGAGGTTCTGAAGTGCAAATGACCACAGTGTGTTGAGAAGCAAAAGAAGGCCACTCGGCTAGGGCAGACTGAAGGAACAGGAGGACAGGACAGTCATGCAGGGATGTCCCCAAAGTCACACAGCAGAGGAGTGCAGTGTTTGGGTAGGAACCCAGGTCTATATGGCCACAGAGCCCCAGCCTTAGTCCAGTTCCCCTAAGAAGGCATCCTTCCCAGGGCACCCCTGACATTTCCACACTACCCACAAACAAGACACCACCTTGTCAGTCAGGAAAGGGTGTGGAAGCCCCCTCTGGGCCTCTGGGCCTCTGGGCCCCACTGTTCCCCAATGGTGAATGAGTTGGAACCACATGTTCTCTGGGGCCTATTTTCTGCCCACAGAATCCTGTTCACCCTTTAAGCCTAAGCTCAGGTTCTACCTCCTCCAGGCAGTCTTCCCTGAGCCCTTACTCCAAAATCCAATAACAGGTCCCATGGACCTCAACTGATGACTTTTCCAGCTTCCTTGGGCTCTCCTGGCTTCCCCTGTCCAGCTGGAAGCAGCCACAAGCCCAGCGCTGCCTCATTCCCTGCTGTGTCACCCACACTCAAGCTCTTCCACTTTTCCCAGGTTCCATTATTTTTATTTTAAGAGTTCTTAGGGTCTCGATTAGGTGCTGATCTATGGGCCCTTTCCCAGTAAGGGTGTATTCAGATCCTGAGAGACTTAGGAGGATTTGTGAGGGAGGAGAGGAAGACAGGCAGGATCGGGAGACCTCCTCCTCCTGGAAGGTGTCCATATTCTAGGCCATTGATTATCTCCCTGGCATTCTGGAAAACATTTAGGGTTTAGAGGATTATAGGGTGAACCCCAAAAACACAACCTGAGTCTCATGGCTACCCAAGGCAAACAGAAGCCCTGGGAATAACGTTTGGCTTCTCTACACTCTGAGGGGGGTTGGGGCAATACCCTGGCTCCTCCCCTCCCTTGCTGTGTGGCTTTGGATAAGTGACTTTACCTCTCTGAGTCTTGGTTTCCCCATCTCTTCAAAGGGGCTAACAATGCTGACCTCACAGGGTTAGTATGATGATTACTGCTAATCACAGTGCCCAGCACACACAGCAGGCAACTGACAAAGGACAGCCATTATTATGACTGTTTTTGTATTGTCAAGTACTCGAGTGCTCAGCTCCCAAACCCTGTGTGGACTCCCCAGCAGAGACAGAGATCAGTGAAGACCAGAGACACCTCTCCTTAGGGATTCTGACTCAGGAGGCAGTAGGACATCAGCGCTAAAAATGGGACCTTGAAGAAAACAGAGGCCCAGAGAGAGACAAGGCACCTGTCGGAGGTCACACAGCCAACAGGGGGCTGAAGGCACTGGAACCAGGGCCTTGACTGCTGGGGTCCCCCCCTTTCCTTTAGAAAGAATGGAAGTAGCAGAGAGAAGAGGTCGAGGAGGTGGGAACAGAGACGGTGGGCAGTGGGGAAGATGAGCCGTCAGCCCGGTCTTGGAGAGCTCCCCAAAGCGGTCACGCTACCTTGTTGCCAAGAATTGGGACGTACGCGTCAGTGATGCTCCACTTCTTGAGGTTGACCGGCCTGCGGGTGCGGCCCCGCAGGGAGCCATAATGGAAGACATCATTGGCACTGTTGGAGCTGTAGAGGATGAGGATGGTGATGAGGGCGAAGAGAACCACGAACACTGCTGAGCGCTGCTCCTGGAGAGGGGAGAGGCTGGTGAGTGCCCAGCCACCCTACAGGCCCCCACCTCAGGTCCTTGCCACCTGCCATGCCCGGCTCATTCCTGCTCGTCATTCCAGACGGGTCCGGGCACCAGCCCCTCCGGCCCCCTGAGCACCCCCATCCCAGCACCAGTCACACTGCATTCAAACTGCCGTCCCCCCTAGTTAGACCATGAGCTCTGAGGGCTGGGACCGAGGCAGCTCAGGAAAACGTGAATGAATGGATCACTCTGACACTGTCAGAGTGATGCTCAGAACATTCTGTCATCTTTGACTCTGACCACTGCCCCTCTCCCCCGCCCTTCCCAGTCACCTTCTCAGCCAATCCTTTACCACAGATGGACCAGTCAAACCTAGGAGGACAGAGGTAGACCTAGCCCAGAGAGAGATAGGAACTCGCCCAAAGCCAGAGATCAGTGGCCACAGCAGAGCTCAAGCCAGGGCCTCTCAGGCATCAGGCACTTCTTGGTAGGAAGAGACACTGGTAGTGACCTGGGTCTGAGGCAGGTCCAAAGGAGCCCATTTTGCTGAGGAAGTAAAAAGCTGAGATGGGGACAAGAAATGAAAGGGGACTTACTTTGTTGCTACTCATCTCTCTCCGGCCTCTGCTGAGGGGCAGGGGCCGGCGTCCTGCAGGTGGCCCAGGGGGCAGGGATGTGGGGTCACACCTGCAAGTCACAGAAAGGTTATGGCTTGGGCACTCTCCCCTAATACAGCTGATCAAAGGCTACACCCTTCCCACACAACCAGCTCTCCTACCCACCCGTGACTTCAAGGCTCAGGGCCATATCCATTTTGCAGAGGGAGATACTGAGGCCCAGAAAGGGCAGGAACCTGCCTGAGGTCACACAGCCAGGTGGTGGCAGAGCCCTGTCTCCTTGCCCCTGGCTCTCTCCCACTCTGCTCTCTGAGCAGGGACCTCCCCACACCTTAGCTCTCCTAGAGGGCTGGCAGGCCTTAAAGCTGGCTCCCCAGCTGGGGGGCTTGTCCGCCGCCCACACACACTCCCAAACTCTGACTTAGGTCCCTGTGGCCTTGGAATAAAGCAATATTCCTTCTAGGTCCCCAAACTCCTCTGCACAGGCACCCTTCCAGATCTTGCACAAACTGTCCCCTGTATCTAGAACACCCTGCCCTCTTGCACCCTGCTCATGCCCTCTCATCCTCCAAGCCTGGGGTAGGCCAGCAACTTCCTGTGTGTCACCTCCCGGCTAGGCTGAGAGCTCTCAGATCCTCACTCACATTCTCCGCTGTGCCTCCGAAGCCACGCAAATGGGTGCAGGAGGTTCGCTGAATGACTTCGTTAATTAACAATAAGATCTTCGGCGATTAAGGGCAGACTCACCAATGGGCTATAATCAGAGCCCCACCCTGAGAGTGGGGGTAGGGGGGGTCTCCAGTAACACTGCAGCCCAGGACAGACCTTCCTTCCTGCCCATCTGCCCTCAGCGGCCGTGGCTGTGAGGGGACATCCTCACAGGTCCTAGCTCCCTCCAGACCTCAATTTCCCCACCTGTTAAAAGGGAGTAAGTACTTGCATCCAGCCACCTCCACCAGATTCAAGGCCAAAGGGAGAGTGTGCAGAGGAAGAAACGGGTGCCCTGGGCTCCCCAGCTCGGTCCTCCCCTCCAGGGGCCTCCCAGCTCCCGCCGCTATCCCCGCCCCCTGACCTGGCCGCTGTTTACTCCCGCACTGCCACCAGGAATAGCCACAGAACCTCAGGCCAAAGGAGGCTCCCCCCAATACCGCTCCTGATTGGTTGGGCTCCGACTCCGCCCACTGACCAACCCCGCCCCTTCCCCGCGGGAGCCCCCCTGCTCCCAAGCCGGGTCTCAGATTTCTCCCGAGCGGGAGGGCCAGTCAGGGAGCTCTCGGGACTCTCATTGGGTCCAATGCCCGCGATACAGATCAGGAAACTGAGGCTCATTAGAAGACAAAAGCAGCTTGTCTTTGGACTCACAGCCCGTTAGGGCGCAAGACAGGAGTCCAGAATCCCTGCGTCGCTCCCACCAGCATTGACCCTCTGGCAGTCCAGGCCCTCCCGGTCTGGGCGGAACCTCTCCTCACTACCGTTTCCTTCTTATGCCCCACCCCCACCCCCACCCCCGCTCCAGACACACCAGGGCACTCCAGTTCCCAGGCTCACCCCCTACATTGCCTGAGCAGTGCCCTCAACCAGGTCCACCGACCCCCTGGTCAGCTCCGTCACAATCCTGCTCTGATAAGGCCAGGTCATACAGCATCTCAGGTGCCAGTGTGAATCCCGGTTCCACCACTTACTGGCTGAGAGGCCTCGGGCAAGCCATGGGACCTCTCTGAGCCTCAGTTTCCTCATCTCTGAAATGGTAATAATAAGAGTAGGTAACTTACGGGGTTGTTGAAAGGATTCGAGCAGATGTGGCAAGGGAATCACGGGGCTTGAAAGTGCTCGGTCAGTGCCTGTCAGTAGCTGCTAGTCTTGTGGTTATTCATTGTTGGAAGCCTTCCTCACCTCGAGCTTGTGAATGAAACACTGCCCCTTCTCGGACACCTAACCTAGTCACTTCCCTCTAATATCGAGGAAGGTGTGCAGGAAGCCACACTACGCATCATCCACTCACCCCATCCTCCTGGCAACGCTGCAAGGGAAGGGCTCTCATTCCCCATTTCACAGATAAGGAGACTGAGGTTCAGAGAGGCAGAGCTGCCCAGAGTCTGCTAGGGAGCCTTGTTTACAGGCTTGTTGGCAGGGAGCAGCCCGGCGCTGATCCTGCCAGGATCTCTTTCCAGGATCTCCCTGGGCTGGAATAGGCCAGAGGCCACCAAGTTTGTGCTCAGCACCCGGCCTAGCACTGGGGAGCAGGCCTGCTGGGGAGCGACTTGCTCAGGCTGGGGAGGCGGCAGCTCAGAGCGCTGGGCCAGGAGCCTGTCCTCAGCCCCGAGGCTGGCAGTGCAGGAGGGCTCAGTCCGTGGGCTAAGGGTGGGGGCCACACCCTGCCCTCTGTTTGGGGGCTTTGCCTCTCTCAGCCGGGGGAGTCCTCCTGCAGGGTCGAGACGCCCCCACAAGCCGCGTGGGAGGAGGGCTCCGGGGAGAAGGGGGGGGCTCCTAATGTCTACATGGGGGGTCGCTGAGCCCGTGGGTCCACTGGTGGGGGGCGACTCACCCTCTCCTCTTGCGCTGACCCCCTCCCCAATTCCCGCACTCCGGGCGGTCCAGAGCCCTAGCCCCAGCTGGGAAGAGGAGGGAGGCAGGACGGCGGCAGGTCCCCGAGCTCTAATAGGGTAGTCAGCGGCAGGGGCCCCGCGAACCCTGCGACAGCCCTTGGTCGCGAGGACCGGGATCTCCAGGCGCGGCTGCCGAGAGTGGGTCTAGGGGAGCCCTGGGGCCCCGCATCTTCCCCTTGACCGGGGGCTCGCGGCCCCTGCCCCGGGGCGCAGGCAGCGCCCCCCTCCCGCTGCCCGCCCCCGCGCGGCGCCCGCTCACCTCCCCCGGGGAGCGCCCGGCCCCCCGCGGCCCCCGAGCCCCCTCACATGGCGCCGGGAGCCGAGAGCCGGGGTCCGCGCTGCTCCGGCCGCCCAGGCCCCGCCGCAGCCCCCGCCCGCCGGGTCCTAGCGCCGCCGCCGCCGCCGCCGCCGCCGCTCGGGCCCAGGCCAGGGAGGCGGGCGGAGCCTGGAGGGGCCGCGGGTGGCTCCGCCCCGGGGCGGTGCCGGGGGGAAGGGTGAGGGGCGGGTGACCCCGAGCCCTGACTGCACTAGCGCGTCGCTTGCTCCTCTGGGCAGTCGGTAGTGGCAATGAAAAAAAATCACAACCGCCTTCCGGAGCCCTTCAGTGTGAGTCGGACCCGCTTCTATCTCGCTTCATTGCCTCCACGACCCGGATGGGGAAACTGAGTCCCGGGGTACACTGCGCTTGGAATCAGTTGAGTTTCTCCTGGGCTCCCCTACCCGGGGCCTCCAGAGCCCTGTATCCACTAGTCACCGTGGATGAACTCAGGGGGCCTCCCTTGGATTCAAGTCCAGCTGTGCCACCTACTAGCTGTTCAGGGTTGCATATTACTTGCCCTTCCTCTGCCTCTGGAAAATAGGAAGAACGACCTCATAGGGTGTTGTCAGGATTAAAAATGTTATGTTACTTCTTTTTTTTTTTTTTTTTTTTTTTTTTTTTTTTTTAAAGATTTTTATTTATTTATTTGACAGAGAGAGACAGCGAGAGCAGGAACACAAGCAGGGGGAGTGGGAGAGGGAGAAGCAGGCTTCCCGCCGAGCAGGGAGCCCGATGTGGGACTCGATCCCAGGACCCTGGGATCATGACCTGAGCCGAAGGCAGACGCTTAACGACTGAGCCACCCAGGCGCCCTGTTATGTTACTTCTTAGAGTCATTGAGGTATTCATGACATCGTTTTATGTGATGTGGCCATGACAGGGGCCTGCTTAAAAAAACAAAGGAACAGGGGCGCCTGGGTGGCTCAGTCGTTAAGCGACTGCCTTCGGCTCAGGTCATGATCCCAGGGTCCTGGGATGGAGCCCCGCATCAGGCTCCCTGCTCGGCGGGAGGCCTGCTTCTCCCTCTCCCTCTCCCCCTGCTTGTGTTCCCTCTCTCGCTGTATCTCTCTCTGTCAAATAAATAAATAAAATCTTTAAAAAAACAAAAACAAAAACAAAGGAACAGCCCAGCTAAAATGAAGGATGCAGATCAATATGCTCGGACAGGAAGAAATGTCTAGGATATTTACAGGCTATTTAAGTGAAGAAAGCAAGTGAAAGAAGTTAATCATTCTGGAAAAGGAAATAGTAAAAATTTGCTTTCCGCTCCTGGATATGTCCCCTGGAGAAATTCTTGCACATGTCCACAAGGAAGTTTGGAGTAGCAGGGCTTGACATAACACAAAACCGGAAACAGCCCATATATTGGTCAACAGGAGAATGGATTTGTTTCCTTGGCAGGATGCCGAGGTGGAATATTATATAGCAGGGAAAAATGAATGAGCTACAATGACATGGATGGATTTTAGAAACATGAGCAGTGAAAAAGACAAGTCCTGGAAGACAAAACTATACACTAAATTAGGTTTTCTTAAAGATTTTATTTATTTATTTGACAGAGAGATAGAGAGCACAAGTAGGCAGAGAAGCAGGCAGAGGGAGAGGGAGAAGCAGTCTCCACTAAGCAGGGAGCCCAATGTGGGGCTCGATCCCAGGACCCTGGGATCATGACCTGAGCCGAAGGCAGCCGCTTAACCGACTGAGCCACCCGGGCGCCCCTATACACTATATTGTTTAAGCATATAGCTGGCACCCCTCACAGCCACGGACAGGTTTAGCTTTTGCCTATCCAAATGATTAAAGTTTTAACCCAGCAAAAGTCAAGAACACAGCTGTCTCTGTGGGGGAGGCAGGGATGCAAGGAAGGGGAGGGGAGGGGAGAGGAGGGGAGGAAACACAGAGGCATGCAGTTCTAATACCACTCTGGTCTTTCAGCGGGGACCTGGGTTCAAGAGGTTTGTTATATTATTATGTTTTATAACTTACAAGTATGACGCATGCCATCATTTCTATGTATCACAGTATTCAAAAAGAAAAGAGAAGGAGGAAATAAATGAAAATATGGAAATACCTTTGGCCTGTCAGTGATTAAAGTGTTAAGAGTGGTTATTTCCAGGGATGCCTGGGTAGCTCAGTTGGTTAAGCGTCTGTCTTTGGCTCAGGTCATGATCCCAGGGTCCCGGGATCGAGTCCCTCATCAGGGAGCCTGCTTCTCCCTCTGCCTGCCACTCAGCCGGCTTGTGCTTGCTCTCTTTCTCTCTGACAAATAAATAAAATCTTTAAAAAAAAAAAAAAAAAAGAGTGGTTATTTCTGGAATGATGAGATTATGGGCTGCTTTTGTTTTTTTTTTTTGTTTTTTTTTTTGAGGGGGGTGTTTCACTATATTTTCCAGAAATTTTAAGATAGTGATTACACAATGTTTTTATATTTAAAAATGAATTTTTAACTTATAAAAAAATGAACTGCATCTATAACATGATTTCTTTTTAAAAATACAGCTGTCTATGGCTGTATATTTGTAAATGTACAAAAAAGGTCTGGAAGAATCCACACCGGACTACTGGTTGTAGTCTCCCCCGGAAAATGGATGTGGGGCAGGAGGGGTGGGTGCTACCGTTACCTTTTGCTTTGTCAAGTTCCAGGTTGTTTACACTGGACTCATTTGTTTTGTTTTGTTTTAAAGATTTCATTTATTTATTTGACAGAGAGAGCATGCACAAGTGGAAGGGGCGTGGCAGAGGGAGAGGGAGAAGCAGACTCCACTAAGCAGGGAGCCCCATGTGGGGCTTGATCCCAGGACCCTGGGATCATGACCTGAGCCGAAGGCAGACGCCCAACCAGCTGAGCCACCCAGGCGCCCCTGGACTCACTTGTTAATACCACTTTGTGTTCCATTAAAACAAAAGTGGGCGGGGGGCGGGCCCAAGGTCCGTCGTCTAGGCTGTGGAGACACCCCCACTGGGCAGTAGGGCTCAGTGGAGAGAGCCAAAGGTGGATTCAAGGCTTCTTGCCCCCCTGCTGTCCAACTCCTTCTGCTTCCTGAGCCCCACCCAACTTCAGCCACCAGACCTTGCCCTGCCAGCCCCAGGACAGAAAACCGCGGGGCAGGAAACAGGGCAGTCCGGTGGGAAGCCTGATGTTGGGGGTTCAGAGAAGAGGAGCCCCTTACCCGAAGTCACCCCGCAGTTGGAGGCTACACCAGGGGCGGGGGCGTCCTGTCCCCAGCTCTGCTTCCTGCCCCAGGCCAATGACAAGGACTCCAGAAATCAGAAAGTGCGACAATCCAGCTCCTGGACCAAATCCGGACCTGGAGCGCCCCCCTCAGGCCTGCCATGTCTGCGGGCCCAGGCTGACTCCAGGAGGCTCGGTTTTAGGGCCGGCTTCCCTTTCCTGGGCCCCAAGAACAAGAACAACATGTCAATAATCACAAGGATAAGAACAGCTCCGGTGTGTCGGGTGCTTTCTCCTGCGCTAAGCACTTTGCAGACAGACCTCACTGAATCCTTAAAATAACCAATGAGATGGGCACCAGGCTCCGGGGGAGAAAACGAGGCTCGGGGTATGCGCAGGTGCCCAGGCTGGGATTCCCCCACGCCTGTCTGCTGAATAACCACGAGCTGCTCTGCCCGGAAGCCCCAGGCCTGCCCCACGCCCACAGCAGGGCCTTCATGGATGGGCGGCCATATTAATGCTGGTGCTACCCTCCAACCCTGCCCAGAGTCTGTCCTCCCCACAGGGCTGCCCGTCCATGGTCTGCCAGAGGTGGCCTCTGCATCAGTCCTTCCTGTCCCAGAGTGGGGGTCCTAAGTGTGACCACCCTCCCTCCTTACCCCTTAGCAATCTTTGCCCTAGGAAGAGCCCACAGGGACCTCCTCACCCACCACCCCAGCTCCCAGTTTACACGGATGAAACCAAGGCCCACAGAGGGCTCAATACCTGCCCCAGGCTCCCCACTGCCTCCTGGGCAGAGCCAGCGTGGGAGCCAAGCCTGGAAACTGTAGCCTCTTTCCCTCTGGACAGAGAAGGAGCCCAAGGGAAAGGCCTTTGGAGGAGAGGCCAGTAAGAGCCCCCAGCAGGTGTGGGCCTGCACACAGGCGCTCTCCATAAGCTCACGTTACCTGGGCAGTGCGCCTGGAACCAGGAAGTAGCTGGTTCTTGACAGGCTAGAGTGGGCAGGTGGGCCCAGGTGACCCTGGATACAGGAGCCCACTGGTATCCAGAAGAACCGGTAACCCTTTCCTCACCCGGTAGATGAGGTGTGAGTGTGAGTTCCTGGCCTGGTCCCGAGTTCCTTCTGAGAGAAGAGACCCCTTAAGACACTTCCAGGCTGTGAGGCTCACCTGGTTTCCCCTTTGACCTCAGGAGGAAGTAGATGTGTCCCCAGCAGGCCTGCTGAGGGGACAAAGGAGGAGGGCTGTGGACAGGAAACAGAGCCCCAAAGAGGGGCTGCACACCACAGTGCACCACCCCCACCACACTCCTTGCAGGTGGGAGGAAGCTCCGGCCCCCAACTCACCTTGTGGAAGGTGGCCAACTCCAGTGGCCAAGAAGGGGCTGCCTCAGAGAGCCTTCGGCAGGCCCAGAACCCTTCACCAGAGCAGCCAGGGGTCCTCCTCTTTGGCCCGGAGGAAGTAGCTGGTGGATTGTTCCTGCCAGGTCACCACCCCAGAAAGACACATTATTTAGGCCAACCCAGCACAAAAACATCCATCGGGGGCAGGACCAGGACAGAGGTTCCTCTGTGCACTGGGCCCAGGGGCTGAGCCAGCATGGGGGGGGGGGGGGAGGGAGCCAGAGGAGGTGGCAATCTCTTGGGAGGGGGTTGAGTTCAAATCCCATCTGGTCCTTGGAGACTGAGATTGAGGCTGTGAGCAGGGAGGCAGCTGGTGAGGGTGGGAGGTCTTCTTGCCCCTCTGTCACTGCCAAGGGGGTACTGGGTTAGCCAGGGAGATCCTTTTGAAAATGATGGGTCCCGCCTATCAAGTGCCAGCCCTGGGGCCATCTCTCTGAATTCATACAATCCCCTGGGGTAGGGACTACTTTTTTTTTTTTTTTTTAAGGAGGCTCCACGCCTACATGGGGTTTGAACTCACAACCCTGAGATCGAGAGTCGCACACTCTACCAACTGAGCCCGGCAGGCGCCCCAGTAGGGACTACGTTAATACCTTTTACAGATGAGGAAGCTGAGGCCTGGAGAAAGGCACTAATCTGCCAGGGTTCCACAGCAGGAGACTGAGCAAGGCCAGGACTCTTCCAGAGCCATCCCTCTGAGCCTGGAAGCTCCCCTCCCAACCCTCTGCCTGCCAGGTTACCTCTGCCCAATACCTGGCCCCGAGACACTGGCTACTGCCAGGCCAGTGGGCCCGCCTGGCAGTGGGGAGAGGGTGCTGGGTCACCCGGACTCCCTCGCACAGCTGGCCCCATGATTTGTGGGGGTCCAGTGCCAAAGGAAAATGTGCAGCCTCTTATTAAAAAACAGAGTAAGAATTTCAAGTTGACAATAGCAGAGCATTATGCTAAGCATAGGACTCTGAACAGCTGTCCAGGTTACAGGCTCATGAAGCAGGCCCCAGACCCTGGGGCAGGGAGCCAGAACCCCAGGGCTCCATCCCAGCTGAGAGCCCAAGGTCCTGGGGTCCCGGTTCTCCATTAGTCTCCTAGTCTCCATTAGTCTCCTGGTCTCCAGTGAAGGAAGGAAGGAGGGAGGGAGGCAGGGAGGAGAGGAAAAAGGGAGGGAGGAGTAGTGAAGCCCTCTGGTGGGCTCTACCCAGCCCCCTAGTGCAGGGCCCAGGCACTCAGGCAATCGCATCCTGGCTCAGCCAAGCGGCTTCTCCTTATCTGTAAAATGGGCTAACACTAGCCCCCTGACTGCAGGCCCTTGCTCACTGGCGCTTGCTAACGGTTTACTGGTGGGTCTGCTTTTCCCACCTTATAGGTGAGGAAACTAAAGCTCAGGGGCGGAAAGCCTGGCGCCTGCCCTCCGCCTCCCTTCCTTGCAGTGTGACCAACTCCAGAGTTAACAGGGGATTTCACTGGTAAGGTCCTTGGAATTTAACTCGGACCAGGGAGGCAACATGGGGTAGAGGAATTTCCTTTCCACCCTGAGTCATTTCCTCCCAGGCCCTAGACTCTCCTCCCACTGGTGCAGGACAAAGGGTCCCCTGGAAGCCTCTGAGTTGGGGCGTTCCCTGAGCCAAGTGCAGCCAGGGAGCCAGACCTCCTGGCCTGGTGGGGAAGCAGGTAGGCTCCTGGGGAAGAAACACATGGGCAGATTAAATGGCCAGAAGCCCAGCCAGCTGTGGGCCTGGGAAGGGGCCCAAGGACTCAGCCTGCCCTCCAGTCAACAGGTTAGGGGACTGTGGCAGGGGGAGGAGCCCCAATCCCCACCCCCAGACACATGACCACACTTCAACAGGTTTCCAGAAAACACATATTTACCCGTACACTCCAGAGGTGGCCCTGGCAGTCACAGTTCAAAGGCCCCTTTGCCCAATGAACCGCAAGCTGCGGGCTGCCCTGACCAGGGCAACGAGCCTGGGTAGTGTGGTGCCAAAGGCAGTGGAGGGGGGAGAGTGAAGAGGGACCAGGGCTATTGCAAGATCAAAGATCACGATGCTGGTGAATGGCGGCGGGGCACTGACCCCTGGGGCAAAGGCCACTGGAAGATCCAGAGAAGGGATGAACCCCCAAACGAAGATTTGGATGACTCAGGGAGTGGGGTGTGGAGGAGGGTGCAAAGGTCGCCACAGTCCTCCTCTTCTCCCCATCAAGTCCGGAGCCCTGAAAGGACTCCAAGTGTCCCCAGGGTAGGGCAAGAAGGGACCTTAGGTCCATGAGGCATGTGGCGGGAGACAGGATCCATAAATTAAATGTTTTTGGTGGAGTGTGGAACAGAGGCCCTGTGAGGGCGTGGCGGCCAGCCAGGTGACGGGGCTACTGGGTCCTCCAGGACGGGTGGGCGAACACTATGGGCCTCTTCTTGGCCCAGCGAGAGAACACAGCCTTCTCGGTGATGAAGCGGTGGGCACTGCGGGGCGCCCGTTCATGCGCCAGGTACATCTGACACTCGTCCAGCCGGCCCTTCTCAAAGTAGTGGTAAGGCACCGAGGGGTGGCTGTCCTCCCTGCGGGCGGGGAAGAAGGACAGACGTGCGGTGTCTGAAACTCGCCCGCCTCCCGCCACCTGCTGCCGCCTGCCGCGGCCGCCCCTCACCGGGTGCTCCCACCGAGCCCCATGCCAGGCCCCGGGGAAGGCCAGGACAGACGCAGGGAGGAGCGGGACAGCCCACGGATCTCAAAGGCCAGAGTTTGACTCCGGCTCTGCCTCTGGCAAGCTGGCTGACGCTGGGCCAGAGACGTACTCTCTGAGCATAAATAACCTGTCTATAAAATGGACATGGGCACCTGAGAGCACAAATCCAAAAAGATCAAGACTGCCAAGTGCAGGGGCCATGGCAGAGGGCACACGGGCTCCCATCGTCTCGCCCACGCGCTCATCAAGCAAGCTCCAGAGAGGACAGAAGATAAAGATCAGGGACCTGTTCTGCACGCTCCACACGTGTTACTTACAATAATACTGGAGTATTAGAGTATCAACGACAACAGATCAGATGTAATCTATCCCTGACACGCATTATCAGCCAGTGCCTGATGATGCCGTTCTAAGCACTTCGGTAGACTATTCTCTCTCTAAATGTTTCTACCACCTTCTAGGGAAGGTGTGATTATTTTCTTTTACGCACGAGAAAACGGAGGCCCTGGGAGGTGGCAGGACTGGCCCAAAGTCACAACGGTAGGGTGAGACTGGTCAAGAGGCTGGGCTCCTTCCCACCAGGCACTGGGTCCAACGGGTGTCTGAGCCCCAGCCGCCCACTGGGGAGCCCACACACCCTGCACTCCACAGCTCTGAGGTCCCCCAGGCTGAGTCAGGACAGGGGGCCCACGGTCTTCCCTGCCCCGGCCTTCCCTCCCACCCAGGACCCGGCCGGCCGACCTGCAGTAGCTGTCGCTGACCATTCCATAGACCACAATCTCCTCACACAGCTCCAGGGCGAGGATCATGGTGAACCAGCCAGTGCTGAGAAAGGAGCCCGACTGCCTCCTGGCAGGAAGGAGAAGAGTCAGCCCAGCTGCTTCCCTGACTCAAGTGGGAGCAAGGGGCTGTGCGGCGGACCCAGCCTCAGCTCTCTTAGGACATAGTGCTGGTTACCCTCCCACCCAAGGGCCCCTACCTTGATCCCTGCAGAGGGGACCCTGGGGGAGGCTGGGAAGGGGACAGAGCCAGCCCAAGATCGGCAGCAGGTAATAGGTGGAGCTGGATGCAAACCCAGGCCTGTTCAGCCCCTTACCACCCACACAGGACTTGAGAAAACCCCCAGACGATGGTGTGGGGACCCGGGTCACAAGCTCTGCTCATCTAAGGGACCAAGCTTGGGGAGATGGTGGGAGGTCATAGCGCATAGTGGTTGAAAGTGGGTAAGACAGTTGTCTGGCGGGACACCTGGGTGGCTCAGATGGTTGAGTGTCTGCCTTCGGCTCAGGTCATGATCCCAGGGCCCTGGGATCGAGCCCCACGTCAGGCTCCCGGCTCAGCGGGGAGTCTGCTGCTCCCTCTCGCTCTGCCTCTCCCCCTGCCCGTGCTCTCTCCCTGTATCTCTCTCTCTCAGGTGTATAAATAAAATCTTAAAAAAAAAAAAGATGGTTGTGTGGAGTCAGATGGTCTTCATTTCAAACCCTGAATCTGCTCCACAGTATCAGGTTTGCTCAAAAACCTCTCTGGGACTCACTGACCCATCTGTGAAATGGAGAGAATTATAGGTAGTTATAGGGAGGGAACACTGTCTGCTCAGCACCCTCCCACGCCCCATGCCCACCTGGGAGCAAGGGGCTGTGTGGGCAGCCCAGGCCTCAACCCTCTCAATGCACCAGCACTGTTACTCTCCCAGCCGAGGGCCACTCACCTCCACCTCAACAGAGGGGTTATGGGGTGGCTCACTCATTCAAACTCAATACCTCCCGGGCCCTGTGCTGGCCAGGAACCTGTCACAGCCAGTGCTAACATTCTCAGGGGAGGCGGCAGAAGTGCTGAGAAGACAAGGAGACAAAGGAAGGGGACAAAGAATGTCAGGCAGGGAGGTACGCCTTCAGACGGGGTGGTCAAGGAGGGCTTCTCTGAGGAGGTGACATCCCATCCAGACCTGAATAGCAAGGAGTCAGTCATAGGCAGATGTGGGGGAAGAACATTCTAGATGGAGGGAACAGCATGTGCAAGGCCTGCTTCTGAGGAAGCCCAGATGGCTGGGGCAGGCTGAGTGAAGGGAGATGACGAGATCACAGACAGGCAGGGGCCAGATCATACGAGGCTTGCAGGCCAGGGGAGGGGAGGGCGTGGGAGCCTCGACTTTATTCTGCGTGTGAAAGTGAAGCTGCTATCAGGTTGAGGGCAGGCCACCAATGGGATGAATTCACTAGGGTGGTTGGCGCTCAGACTACAGGGGGCCAGAGCACCAGCAGCAAGAGGGTGCTACAAGGGCGGGGGCGGGGATGGGGTGGGGGGTGGGGGGATGGTGGCTTAGGTCAAGGTGGCACCTGTGAGCACAGGAGAGTCAAGAGCCCACGATATGTGGCAGATGATGCAATGAAAGGAGTCAGGTGCAAAGCCCAAGCTTCTGGCTGGGAAACTGGTGGTTGGCGGCTGTATTTCCTGAGTTGGGGTGGGGACGGGCTGGGGGAGGGGGGGAGCCAGTGGGCGGAGGAGGTAGGCGGGAGTCAGCGAGCGTGTGATAAAATGAGATCTTCCATGCAGAGTGCTTAAGTCAGTGCCTGGTGCACGCAGAGGGCTGTTACTACTGTGAACTGTCACTTTTGTTATCTGGCAGGGACTTCCGAGACCAATTCAGATCTCAGGGAGTATCCCCTCCAGAGGGAGGAGCTCCCTGCCGCTGCCCCACCCGGCAGTGCTCCCCTATCTTGTGCTTGCAAAGCCAAACACCCCTCACCACCGCTGGGGATTTTTCATCTTTGTGCTAATTCAGCGAATGACCGTCTTTCTGCTTCTGTCCCCCCTCAGAGGCAGGAGCACCCCCACCTGCCTCCATCGCTGCTGGCCCCCCAGCGCCTGACGGAGCAGACCCTTGTCTGCCTCCGGCTCGGGTCATGATCCCAGGGCCCCGGGATCGAGCCCCGCGTCAGGCTCCCGGCTCCCAAGGCATGCCCCCAGCCGGCAGGGAGCCCCCCGCCCGCCCGCAGGCCGGCTCCAGGCTCACCGGTTCTTGCCCGTCTCGTCCTGGAAGACCTGGTCGCAGTAGGCCATCATGCGCTCGGTGAAGGTGTACACCTGCAGGCCTGGGTACATCCTGGTGAGCTGCAGCAGCGTGCGGTACGTGCGGCCTCCCAGCGCCCGGTCCATGTGCCTGCCCGGGCCCCACACCACGTAGAGCGTGTCTCGAGCGTGCTGGAAGTAGTGCGAGTAGTTGCGCAGCAGCAGGGGCACGCTCGTGTGCGAGACCACGCGCAGGGTGCTGCGCCCGCCCACGTCCGCCTCAAAGCCCACGGTGGGCGCCTGGTTCATGCGCAGGACGCACTCGGCGCTGTCGATCTCGGCGCCCAGGCCCGAGCCCAGCATCTGGCCGGAGCTGGACACCAGGGCGCAGCTGCGGCATGGATCTCGGACCAGCGGCTGCAGGGAGAGGCAGGGAGAGGCAGAGACGAAGAGAGAGGCGTGAGCGCGCAGCTCCCACGGCCCTGCTCCAGCCCCTGACTTCGCCTGCTCCCTCTATCAGCTCCGAGTACAGCATCAACCCATTTTGCAGATGAGGAATTTGAGGCTGGGCAGGCGGAGTGACTTTCTTACGGTTGTATGGATAGCCAGGGGCAGAGCTGAGACTCAGAGCCCCATGCTTCCTTTTTTTTCTTTTTTTTTTTTTAAAGATTTTATTTATTTATTTGACAGAGAGAGACACAGCGAGAGAGGGAACACAAGCAGGGGGAGTGGGAGCCCGATGCGGGACTCGATCCCAGGACTCTAGGATCATGACCTGAGCTGAAGGCAGTCGCTTAACCAACTGAGCCACCCAGGCGCGCCCCATGCTTCCTCATCAGCCATATTCATGTCCCTTTTCCCGATTGCTGAGGCCCTAACCGGCCCTCCATCCCGGGTTCCTTATTACAGTTACATGAGCAAATATTTATAAAGCACTTAGAGCAATGCCTGGCACAGATAGGGTGTCATATGTGTGTTTGTTAAGTAAACATGAACCTTAGCTCTTCACAATCACTGTTGGACCACTCCATCCTCTGCCCAAGCCCCAGTCACATTATGCCCAGTTCATTAAGTAAAAGCGGGGTCTTTAGCGCCACAATAACATTGAGAACCCCTGGTTCTGAGCCTGAATCCTGGCTCAACCACTTCCTCTGTCTCTTGGAGCCTCAATGTCCTCATCTGGCAAATGGGGATGAAAATATTATCTACTTCATCAGGTTGTGAAGACTCAATTAAAAATGCCTGGAGAGTGGGGTGCCTGGGTGGCTCAGTCAGTTAAGCATCTGACTCTTGATCTCAGCTCAGATCTTGGAAAAAAAAAAAGGAAAGAAAGAAAGAAAGCCTGGAGAGTGATCAGTGCAGACCCAGAGCACAGTGAGGGCCCAACGACCATCTCATTATCTCTCGAAAAGCAGAAGCTGAGTCAACACGCCTGCAAATGTTCCCTGGGGGTTAGAGGTCAGGACTCCCAGAAAAGGACTTGCTCCTCACTCCATGTCTCCATGTCTTCCTGGGGGCACAGGGGTTTACAGTGACCTTTATCCCACTCTGGGACATTTTATATCTAACATCATGTTGATTTAGGGACTCAGAGGTCCATTTTCCTATTCCTATTCTAAACCGCGCCTGGCAGAGCAAGCATGGGGAGGTGGGTCGTCACCCCCTGAGCCCCAGTGTCTCTGTCTCCCCATGAGAGGGAGAGCTCTGGGGTTGACGTGACTTTTCTCTGTCATCTCTATCCCCGGCAGCCATCAGTACAAGGCAGGGCATATCCAGATACACACCTGCTGCATGAATGGATTATGCACATACATAATCAATTCTAAAGACACACAGAACGATGCACAGATCACCATGGTGGGATGGTGTCTGTCTCCCCCACCGGGTCTAAGAGCTCCAGATGGCCAGCCGCCCTGGCTGACTCATCTTTTTCACCTCTAGCTCCCAGCTGAGAGCAGCCAGGCAACATTTGTTGAATTAAAAAAAAAAATTTCCTCTTAGAACTTGGGGCTCACAGAGGTCAAGTGGCTACTCAATGTCACAGAGCTGGTGAGCAGAGGGGCCAAGCCTGGGGTCCAGGCTGGCCTGGCATGAGCCTGGTTCTCACTTACGCCCAGAGAGCTGGGGGCACCCAGGCAGCCGTGGCCAGCCCTGTCGCGCGACATGTTGTCCGGCCAGCTCACCTTCCCATCTGGCACGCTGCTGTATCCGCTGAAGCGCAGGGGCCCCGGCACAGTGGGCCTGGAGTTGATGGAGGGCTGGGGGTCCAGGCAGGAGGCCAGGCAGAAGGGCACACCGGCCCAGAGGCACAGCAGGATGTAGGCGGCAGAGAAGCCCAAGGAGCACAGGATAACGAGGAGGAGCCGGCCCTGGGGGAGTCAGCGGTCGTGGGGTGTGGGCAGGGGTCCCTGGGGCTCCTAGAAGCTTATGCCCCAGCCCCATGGGTCCAAAGCCCAGCTCAGTAGCTTCCAGAACATTAGCACGGTCCACGGTCTCTGTTAACCAGGGCTTCCTCTGGGCTTCCAAGCTCAGGCCCTGGAGACAAGCCCTATTATGATCCCCATATTCTAGATAAAGAATCAGGATGGGGCCTTAAAACCAGGCTGCAGAGCCCATACTCGTAACTGGAAGCCTAGGTGCATTGTGCAGGCTTCGGTATGACTGTCCACCCCTCTGGGCCTGTTTCTGCTTCTAAAAAATTGGGGCCCATAATGCCTGCAGTGCGAACGTATGGTAAGCTCTGTGTACCCCAAAGTGGTGCACAAGAAGACAGGAGAGCGGCCCCTCAGAAGAGCAGCCATCCTCCTTCAGACCCGGGACCCAGGCTGCCAGTGTGCCCACGCCCTGCCCCCTCCCCCGGCTGCTCAGTGACCAGCCCCCTAGCTCATGATCTGGGTCAGCGGCCCAGGAAGTGAGGAAAGTGTCACTCAAAGAATGGTTCCAATAATTGAAAGCTGCCACTCAGAGGCTCCCACCTCCACAAAACATGTGCCAGAGGCCATTTGAACCAGAAGGCCCTCCAGGCCCATTGGCCCTGCTGGCAGACTTAGTGACCAAGCCTTCAAGGGGGGGCCACCAGGAAGAGGCCATGACCTGGGGCTGCCCTCAAATGCTGGGCCACCCTGGTCACTGTGTGTGTCTCTCTGGGCTCTAATATTCTCCCAGCCTGCCCAAGGCACAGGTTCCCCCCTCAGAATCCACCTAGGAGCTGTTGGTGCTGAAAACTGGAGGGGGGGAGAGCAGCCCCCACCGTCCCCCCCAGGCATATCCTACCAGAGGCCTACCCTTTTCTGTCCACAAGCCACATCAGCTTCTAAAAATAAATCTCTCTGTGGCCAGCTGTGCGGGGGAGGGGGTTCAGCCCATGAGCCCTCAGGCTCTGCCTGGCACCTGGTCCTCTGCCCACAAAGGACCCAGAGACCCGAATTCAGGCGGTCGTGGCAGACTCCCCCAACATCCAGGGCCCTCTCCCACAACCAGGGGCTCCTGAATAAAGTCGAGAGCAGCTAAACAGCACTTTCACACCATGTCCCCCTCCCGGGCGGGTGCCTCACCTGGGTGGCCTCCGGGTGCTTGCAGGAGATAGTACTATTATCTATCTCCATGTCACAAGGCCCTGAAACCAGAGAGGGAAGACCACTTGCCTGAAGCCACACCGCCTGCCAACCAGATCAGCAGGGCTTTGAGGCCAGTCTGCCCTTCTTAGCTCAGGAGCAGTGGGTCAGAAGTGAGTCAGTCCTGCAGTGGGAGAGGTTAGGAGGCTGCTATGCCGGAAGTTCCCCAAGAGCCTTCCTCCTTACACCACTTACCGGGGCCTTCATGCTGCTGTCGCTGCTCAGCAGCCACCTGGCTGCCGTCTCCAGGGCTCGCGCTGGGAAGGGGTGGGGGCCAGGCACCTGCCAAGATCCGGAAACTCAGAGCTGGGTCCTGGGGCTCTGAGGAAACGGCGCAGGGAAACTGAGGCAGGGGAGGGTATGGGCCAGGGTCCAGGCAGATGACTCCCAGGAATCAAACTCCTTAAAGCCCCCCAAACGCCGGACAGCGCTGTCCGCATCCTAAAGGAGCTGCTATCGGGTGACCTTCGGGGAAACCTCCCGCCAAACCAATCCCCATTGTGCAGATGGGGAAGGAGAGGCAGGGAGGGGGAGCCCTCGGCTCAAGGTCACCCATCGAGTCCGGGTCAGTTAGAACCAGGAGCCAGGAGCCCCGACTGCCACCCCAACCCTCCTACCTCACCCCCCAAGAGGGATGAACGGTGAGGCCTGGGGCGGGATACTTCCACCCCTCTCCCAGATTCCACCGCCCCCTCCCCCGGCCAGGCGCTAACCAGGCGGACGGGCTGGGGCGCTCCGGCTGCTCTCGATCCGCTGCTCGGAGCTCCATGGCCCGCAAACGGGGCGGGACGGGCGGGAAGCCGGAGCCCCGGGGCGGAGGCGGCACCGGGGCTGCGGCTTCTGGAGGCTGGAAACCGAACGGCAGCCGCCGGCACCAGGGGCGGGGTCTGCGAGGACGGGGAGGAGACAGGCGCGCTGGGGGCGGGTCCCGGGCGACGGGGGCGGGACCTACGAGCACCGCCGGCGCGGCGAGGGAGGGAAGTGCGTGGCTGGCGGCGGGGACCTCCGGGATGGGGGCGGGGCCTGCGGGCCGGGGGCGGAGTCGGAGGGCGCGCATCTTCCCTTTTCCTGCCCTCCCACATTTCTCCCAATCCGGTCGGGGGTCGGGTGGGAGGCGCGCAGAGAAAAGGCCTAGGGAGTACGGGAACCGGCGCGCCGTGGCTGCCTAGCGGTTCGGACTCGAGTTTCTCCATTTGTGAAATTGGGGGATGGGTAGGAAAATTAAGCAGGGGCTTGGGGTCAGGCAGCCCTGGGTTTCAAGCTTGTAGGGTTGCCAGATTTAGCCAGTAAAATACAGGACGCTCAGTTATATTGGAATTTCCGATAAACAGTGCATAATTATATTAAAAATCTGACATTCCTGTGTAACTGGGCATTCTATATTTTCTCTGGCGACCCTAGCGGGACTGTCTCTTGTGGTGTGGACTCCACCTGAGCCTCGGTTTTTCTCCTCTATGAAGTGGGTATAATAACAGCACCTTCCTGCCAGTGAGGGCAGCTGTGGTACAGTTAGGATTGAACCCTGAGCTATCTCACTGCCACGTACTTGCACCTCCTCGCCTCCCCCTCCCCAAAGGGTCCTCCAAACTCCAACCAGCTCAGTCTTGCACCCCTGCAGATGCTGAAATGTATCCCATTTGAAGGCTCAGATGAGATCCCCTGGGGAGTTCAAACTCAAGTGCCTTCAGGGGTCAGAAAGGGTTGAAAGAGCAGATATAGGGCAATAGGGAGGAGTGGGCCTGCGGAGAAGTAGAGAGCATGCTTCTCATCTACAGTGTTTTTTATAAAATGCTCTATGGGCCAGAAAGCTCATCTTACCACCTCCATCACACCACCCTCCACAGGATCTTCCCCTGGGATCCAGGCTAGGTTTCTGCTCCCACCCCATTTCAAACTCCATTTGCCTTTTTCTAAGAGCCTCTGGTGTGGGCACAATGCCAAGGTACCCATGTTTGGGTATCTGCACCCAGATAAGCAACTTTCCAAAGCTACCTATCCTGCTCTGGTGCAAAGCCAAGTCCCCCATGCCTCTTTCCGTCCTATGGGGGAGGGGGGGCACGCTAAAGCAGCCCTGCCCCTGAGCTTCCTTTGAGCACAGGCCTACTTTGTCCCTCCCCCGCAGCCTGGGCACAGCTCAAAGGTAGTGGTCCAAGTTCAATCTCTCTCTGTGGTCTCCTACTCACTCAAGGCCAGGCACACAGTGGGTGCCCAAAGCCAGAGTCCCTCTGCCCCCACCCCAAGTCCTCATCCTTCAGGTTTTTCTCCTCATAGCCTCAACCCCAAGGGGACAATGGTGAGAAAATTCCCTAAGGATTCATTCGTCACCCACAATGGCTGGTGAAGTGACCATTCTTTCCCCAAGAGGCAATTCTCTCCCTGTTAGGGCCACATGGAGACAGGGACATGCCCAAATGTCCTGGACTCCTGGAGCAGATGAGGATCACACATCCACAGTAGAACTGCCAGTGGGAAGTTCTGCAGGCTCAGTAAAGCTCTTCAGTTTGGTTTTGGCAAAAGTCCACTCTCTTTACCCTGACCTACAAGGCCCTGCACGGTGGGAACTTCTGTCTTCTTAATCACCTTCTACCTACCCTGGGCACCCTTCTGACCCCTAACCACATTGAGCTCATGCCTACCTCAGGACCTTGGCGCTTGCTGTTTCCTCTACTCACATAGCCAGCTCCCTCCTGTCATTCAGCTCAAATGTCACCTCTTCAGAAAGGCCCTTGCCAACCACTCTATGTGACACTGCATGCCCATCCCTCTAAGTCCCACCTTATTGGTCTTTTTCACAGTACCGTTCACAGTCTGAAATCATCCTGTGTACTAACCAGTCCACCCACCCACTAGACTCTCAGCTACGTGGGGGCAGAGTCATGCCAGTCATGTCCTCAGGCATTTCCAGCACTTGCACAACACCCGGCCCACACTAAATGCTAGATAATGTCTGTTGAATGACCAAGTTAGGAGAACCAGGAATCCTGGGCCCCATGAGATCTTGGATAAGTCACGTCCCTCTCCAGCCTCAAGCCCTGGCTCAGCCTATTGCCAGAGACCCAAGGTGGGTGAGGGGCTGAGCCATCCTTATCTATGAGTGCAGGACTCTCAGGCTCTGACTCGTCCTGCCAGATCCAGACCCTGTTTCCTGCTCTGCAGCCCTACCACTGGTGAACTGCTTCACGCACCCACCTCCTGAGGGATGACCTTAAAGCTCTATGTGTCAACTTCCTGCTGAGCCAAAACAAGGAATTCTCTGTGACTTGTGCCAGTTCGGAGATCTTGAGTAATCATCCAAGGTCACCCAGACAACTAGGGGTGAAGTCAATTGTATACCTATTCCAGGAGCCCACACTCCAGTGCTGTGGCATTAACTTTCCCTTACCCCTCCCTCCCTACCCGCATTTTGCTTCATTTTCTCTGAAGGCTAATGGACTGGCAGTGTTTGGTATTAGCTGAGTGTCTCCCAAGGTCCGGTTCTAGTCCTGGGGGTCAGCTCTTGGTGCACGACGTCCCCCACCACCACACTGTCCCTCCCACTCTGAACTGTTTCTTTCTCTCGAGTGTCAGGCTCTCCCTCACCCCAGACCTTTGCCGTGCCCTTGGCCTGGGACCCTCCCAGGGCTGCATCTGACTCTTCCGGTCTCACTTGAGATGGTAGGGCCCCATCTCCATCAAATTATTCGGTGGAGGCCCCCTCCCTCAGCACGATGGCCCCATGCTCCTTCATGAGGCTGTGTCATGCCAGGCTGCTTTTGTCACTATCTCTCCCCAGACCGTGAGCTCTGTGAAGGCGGAATCTGTGAGTCTTGCTCCACCCCCAGGTCCCCATCACCCAGTAGAGGATCTGTCACATGGTAGGTGCTCAATAAATATTTAATGAGTTAATAAAGTCCATTTTCATGCTTCCAGTTGTACAGATTAGACCACTGAGGCACAGAGAGGTGTAGCACCTTGCCCTGATCACACACACAGCCAGGCCCTGGAGCAGCTCTAGAGGAAAGGCCCACTTGGGTATGGTTGGATTGGACCAGGGTCAGAGGCCAGGCTGGAGTTTCCTGGAGGGAGAAGAAGGAATGATCAGGGGCTATGCACGCACTGTGCTTCTTTGCTCCTGGTAATTGCAGTGCGGCCATACCCTCGGTCTGACCACCAACCCCTACCCCCATTTCACAGATGAGAAGTGACTCCCAGAGGAGGGAAGAGCTTATTCAAGATTAATAGTGGGCCTCAACATAGTGTCTTCCAGAGTTGCAGGCCCACAATACCTCCCCTTCTCCCACCTGCATCCCTTGAGGAGCAGGAGCGAGGGGGACCACCCCAAAAGGAGACCAGTGGGCAGAAGGTAAGGAAGCCTGGGTTCTTGGGCTGGCCTTTCCACTTACCCATGGGTAAGCCCCTTAAAGTCTCTGGGCCTCAGTTTCCCCATCTGGATGACCAAGGCGCTCGGCTGGAGCCTTCAGCCTCCCCCCTTCCCCAGAGCACGAGGCCAGGGCTGAGGGAGCTGGTGGGTAAGAATACAGGCTCCTGAGTCCAAAAGGCATAGTCGAGTCCTGGTTCCAGCATTTATTGCTGAATGATCTTGCTCAGTCCCTTCACCCCCTGAGCCTCCATTTTATGGTCTGTAAAAAGAGAATAATAGCTTTTTTTTTTTTTTTTTTGAGGATTAAACGAGCTAACATAGGAGAGTCCCTGGCACAAGGCCGAACTCGGCATCGCCGCCAAATGAGGCTGTGTTGTCATGGTATTAGTTAGGGGATGCTGCCCTCTGGAGGCCAAGGGGAGGAACGGCAGGCGAGGGGAGCCCAACCCGCCGCCGGGGCCAGGCTGGAACTCTGGTTCCCGGCGTGTGCCCATTGTCCAGATGCGGAGCGCCGCGGGCGCTGGTCACTCGGTGTGTGCCTCCACCCACTGGCAGAGGCGACGGGCGTAGCGAGCGGGGCTGACGGTGGAGAAGGTCCGGCCCGGGTAGCGCAGCGTCTTCCATAGGTGCTCCAGCCGCTTGCCGAGCCCGTACACCGTGGCGAGATCCACGAGGCCCAGGAAATAGCGTTGCTCCGGCCCGTCCAGGATGTGTAAGGCGTTGGGGGTGTCGGGCAGCAGCCGGCGGTTCTGGGATCCCGGCTCCTCCGGGCTCTGTACCCCTTGCACAGACCTGGCGACCGACAGGAGGGTGAGGCTCCTGCCTCCTCCAGGGGGCCCCAGCCCAGGGATTCCCCGCAAGTTTGGCCGCGGGGCACCCGGGCAGCATTCTGCGCTGACCGTGCTCTCCCTCCACTCATTCCCACAACTCCTGTGTGCCAGGCCTGTGACGTCAGATAAACTGGGAGGCTGAGTAAAGTGTAAATGATGGTCTAGCGCCGCACTGTCCATTACGTAGCCCCTAGCCATAGGTGGCCGTGGAGCGTTTAAATGTAACCAGTCCCAACTGAGGTGCGCCGTGAGTGTGACATACATACTGACTTTCCAAGACAGTATGAGAAAAAGAGTGTAAATACCTCATAAATGTTTATATTGATCAGATGACAACATGATAAAAATTTGGGGTGTATTGAGTAACAAATATATTATTAAAATTATTTTTACCTGTTTCTGTTTACTTTTCTAAAGAGGCTAAATTTTCTAAAGGAAATTTAAAACTACATGTGTGACTCGCATTTCTTTCTTTCTTTTTAAAATTTTATTTATTTATTTGAGAGAGAGGGAGCACAGAGGGAGAGGGAGAAGCAAACTCACCACTGAGCAGGGAGCCAGCCGCAGGGCTCGATCCTAGGATCTCAAGATCATGACCCCAGCCGAAGGCAGCCGCTTAATCAACTGATCCACCCAGGCGCCCCTCGCACTACATTTCTATTGGGTGGCGCTCCTCTAGAGCATTTGGGTCACAAGACTGACTCCGCACTTATCTGCCACATCACTTTGGCTAAGTCTGGTATTGGGGTGTTTCCTAAACTTCTGTTTGAGGTCGTCCAACCCTGGAGGTTTCAGGGTGGCAGAGCTGAAACCGTGTGAACAAAGTCCAACCCCAGTTTATAGATGGTGTGGGGGGAGGGGGCTGTGGGGGTTGCCTTCTAAATGTATTCCAAATTGGAAGATGCCTTTGGCTGGGCCCCAGTCCCAGCCAGAAGCAGGTTCAATTCCCTAATTTTGTCCTCCAGGAGGTGGAGGGGAGTTGGGGAAGTGTCGCTGAGAGAAATAAGCCAATGAGAGACAAGCCCTGCCCAGGCATCGACCAATCAGAACCCAGTGGTCTGGGTGCCTGGGCAAAACACTGATACCCTTTGCGGTGCGGTGCTGGGGGTTAGGAAAAGGCTTGTTCTGAAAGAGGGACTGGGAACAGGTAGGGAGGACTGGGGCAGTGGCCATTTACCAGCCAGCATATTTCAATATGACAACAACCATTATATGCAAACCAACTAGGGTTTACTGGCTGAATGACAACTGTCATCTAAGCATCAGCTGGGGATAGAGGGAGCAAGGGAGAAGCTGACCTAGCTTGGATGGGCAGATGGGGGGGGGGGGCGCGTCTGTGTCCCATGGCAGGAATTCCACCTTCTGGTCAGGATGTGTCCAGACAATAAGTGGGGAGCCAATAACCTGGATTCTGCCCAAGCCTCACCCACCTCCAAAGAGTAGGTTGGGGGGTTGGATGAGAGGATGCCATTTTTCACTTTTCCACCCATCAGGTGGTTGGACTTCTTTCCTTAATGTGCCTTCCTTAACCCCTACATTATTCTGTTCAGCCTTGGAGGACTGAAATCCAAGTAACTAACCAAGTACTAACATGAATCCTCAGAAGTCATTTTGCAACCTCACTTCCCCTCTCTGAGCCTCAGTTTTCACATCTCTAAAATAGGAGTGAGCCTACCTTAATGACGTTCATGGTCAGCATGCAAAGAGCGACAGTTACTACTATGAAGCAGGGGACAACATGATGACGTGGTCAATGGTGATGACCTTAGGGTCCTAGAAGTGGAACGACTGGTTTAAAGGTCAAGGGTTCTTTTGGGCACCGGAGTGGCTCAGTCAGTTAAGCATCTGACTTCAGTTCAGGTCATGATCTCAGGGTCCTGGGATGGAGCCCCTTATCTGGCTCCCTGCTCAGCAGGGAGTCTGTTTCTCCCTCTCCCTCTACTCCTCCCCTGCTTGTGTTCATTCTCTCTCAAGTAAATAAATAAAACCTTTTATTTTATTAATAAAGAGCAAGGGCGGGGCGCCTGGGTGGCTCAGTCGTTAAGCGTCTGCCTTCGGCTCAGGTCATGATTCCAGGGTCCTGGGATCGAGCCCCACACCTGGCTCCCTGCTCAGCGGGGAGCCTGCTTCTCCCTCTCTCACTCCCCCTGCTTGTGTTCCCTCTCTCGCTGTCTCTCTCTCTGTCAAATAAATAAATAAAATCTTTTTAAAAATAAATAAATAAAGGGCAAGGGCTCTTTCTAAAGGAAAAATTAAATAGGTCTGAAAACTGCTTTAAACCTTCACTGGCTCCACATCCATCCCCTTCAGGAAAATGGGCAGATTCTTTCCATCAGCACTGAAGCCCTTATCCAGCTGAATCTCCTCTGCTCAGTCGTATGCGGTCCACGCATGCCCACCAACCCTGCCAACCAGCCTTCTCCAGCCCTAGACACATACACACACACACACACACATGCACACACGGACCCACAAACACTGCACTTGCCAGTCTCTGAGCCTTTGTCTGTGCTGTCCCCCCCACCCGCCCCGCCTCATCATCCATCTTTCTCCTGCTCTCGTCACCTCATTCTTGCCCTTGCCCCTGCGGGGGGGAGGGGGGTGCCCACCTGACCGTGCGGAAGATGAGACTGCTGCCTGGGCCCCTCTCATCCTCATGGAGACGCTGGAAGGCCATCAGGAGGCTGTAATCGAGCACGTTGAGTTCCCGGAGGAAGGCGGTGTCCAGTTCCATCTGGTGGAGGAGCCAGCTCCGCTGGGGCCCTGCCAGAGCATCAGTGCCCCCACTTGAGCGCTCCTCGTGTGTCAGGCAAGGTGCTGAGGGCTCCACACATATCTGCCCCAAGAGGGCAGGTGTCATTAACTGTCCCATTTCACAGATGAGGAAACTCATCTGTAATTTGCCCTGGTCACCTAGCTAGTAAGTCGTGGAGCCAGGATTTGAACCCTGCTCTGCCTGACTCTAGAATCCGGGCTCTAAATGACTCAGGCAGAGGCAGGGCCAGGGACACCCTTCTAACTTCACCCTGAATGGAGGAATAGCATGCACAGACTGCCTCCATGGCTCACCCAGGTCGATGGTCTTGCCTTGAAAGTTGAGGTCCTTCAGCACCAGGACAACGGGGCTATCCTCAGGGGCTGGCTCCACCCATCGGCTCACCTCACAGCCCTTTATGTCATACCTGTGTGGGAGATGACAGAAAGGGGGCGACAGAATTCAGCATTATACAGACTGACGCACACGGGGAACCAAGAAACAAGAGCTTCCCCTGGGTGGATGTTCGAATCTTCACCACAAGCCATTCCATTATTGTCCCCATGTCAGAGATGAAGAAAAAGGCTCAGAGAGCTTCTTTGACTTGCCCAAGACCACACGGTAAGTAAAGGGCAGAGCTGGGATTCAAACTCGGGCCTTTGGGAGCCCATTCCAGGCTTTATCCCTGCCTGTGCTGGCTTCTCAGCCCCTTGTCATCCCTGGAAGTGTCCCCAACACAGCGGTCCAAGCCTAGACTGCAGCACCAGGGGGGACCACTCATGGGGAACTTTCAGGCAGAGTCACCGTTAGGAGGCAGAAAGGGCCATGTGCAATAAGAGGCTGGGTTTGAATCCCTGCTCCTCACATAGTAGCAGCGTGGCCCTCCCCCTCCTCAGCTTCTCATCTATAAAATGGGCATGATAACCACACCTACCCCTCAGAGTTGTTCCAGGAATAAAGAAGGCAATGAATGCAAAGCCTGGACAGAGCGCCCAATGGATCCTGAGTGCTCAAGAGATGCTGGTCGTGCCTATCCCTGTCTCCGATCCATTAGGAGATCTCAGGGATGTCCCTCCCATCTCCTCCCTGGGCCTCAGTTTCGCATCTATCTAGTGAGTATGGGTGCTTCAGGTGGCACATCCCGCGTGGGGCCGGGGCCCTGTGAGGCGACTCACCTCTCAGAGATGCGGCCGGCGGGATAGAAGACGCTCAGCATGATGATGAAGAATTCCTGGGGACAGGGGTAGGGAGTGAGGGAGGACAGAATCTCACCCTCCAGCCGCCCCCTCTGGCCCGGTCCCCTCGCCTCGGCCTCACCCACCTTCTTTCCCCGAGCCACCCGCAGACTGTGCACTCCTGGAAGGGGAGAGGGCGCCAGGTGAGGGGCCCCCAACTCGAAAACCCCTGGTCCAGCCCGCTCTAGGCCCAGCTCCAGGCCATGCCTCCTCCTCGAGGTCCCCCGCCTCCCGAGCCCGCCCCTCCAGGCCGCGCCCCCGGACCTCTGCCTCCGCTCGGGTCGTCGTCCGGACAGGACCCGCCTCTAGGCCGCCCCAGAGAGGCGCGGTCCTCAGGCGTGACCCCACCCATAGGCCCTCCCGCCGCGGGACTGGGCGATCCAACCCCGCCCCCTTCGGGAGGCCCCGCCCCAGAGCTCGGCCTGCGCCCACCGAGTCCGCCTTTCCCCTCCGCCGACGTCGAGGACACGCCCCCCACGGAACGCGGCCCCTGCCCGGAGCCGCCAGCCCAGGCTCGGGCTCAGGTCCCCTACGCCCCCCAACCTGGGAGCCGCCCCACTCCCTAGCCCCTTCCCCTGCTCGCTCTCGGTCTTCTTCACTGCCCCCCTCTTCCCCCGCCCCGCAGTCCCCAGTCCCCGGCCGGTCGTACCCAGCAACCGCGCAAGTAGCGAGTGCGGGTGCCGCTGCAGATGCTGCACGTAGCGGGGCAGGTGGGCAAGCAGGGCCCGCACCTCCCGACGCCGCTGGGTCTTCAGGAAGAAGCGCTGGTCGTGGCTGGGGAGTGGAGGGAGAGGTCACTGGTCAGGCGGGGCTGGAGCGGCCCCCATCGGGCCCTCTGCCCGAGTGTGGCTCTGTCTCCCCCGGTTCGGGCTCGAGGCCTCCTCACCCCCGCTCGGGTCATCTCCCACCCTCACTCTCCTCCATCTGACCTCTATCTGGCCCTGACCATCCCTGACCTGGCCATTCTGTTTCTTTCCCACCCACCCCCTCCCCTCCACCCAGGGACACCACTCCCACCCGTTCCCCACCCCTGCTGCCAGCTCACGACAGGAAGAAGCTGGCCTTGCTCTTGGAGGTGCTGAGGAACTGCAGGTAGGGGCCACCTGGGCCAAGCGCCGCCTGATAGTCCTCCTCGGCCAGGCCTAGGGAGTGGCGCAGCCAGGCGAAGGCTGGGCCAGCCAGGGTGCCCAGCTCGAAGCCCTGCAGGGGAGGAAGAGCAGCCCCAGCAGTGTCCACGGGGGGCCCAGGTGTGCAGTAGGCCCTAGCGCGGGAGGGTCAGGGTAGCCACACCGGTCCTGCAAAGCCCTGAGGCAAGCCAGCACTCCTACTGTACTGATGGGCAAACTGAGGAGGACAGAGAAGGAAGACCAGTACACGCCCCTCCCATGCAGCAGTCTGGGGCTTCCTACCTCGTGAACCTGGGTCAGGACCTCGCAGAAATCCTCCTCAGTGGGCGGTCCCTACAGGGAGGGGTGGAGGGGCTCAGGTCAAGTCTTTGGCCCACACTGCCAGCTCCAGGATCTCAAGAGTCCTGCACCTGGCCTCACCTGCTTCCCTCCGTGTGATTGCTCCAACAAACAGAGACCAGAACTCAGAGCTTCGTCCATTGACCCAGAAGCACATGTTGGCCTAGTGAGGCCAGATGCCATCCCAGTGAAAGGGGATGGCCTTTAAGCCAAGGGACGTGCCTGACTAAGTGTGAGAAGGGCAGGATCAGAGAAGGCTTCCTGGGGGAGGTGACCTCTAAGCTGAAATCTGAAAGGTGGTGCTCATAGCAGGGGGAACAGCATTGGTGGTCACTGGAAGGGCAGGAGAGCTCAAGTGATTGAAATAATTAAGGGAGGGACGGAGTGAATGCAGCTGGGCAGTTGGCCCTTGGACTTGAGCCAGCAGAATCCTGAGGCCATGCTGAGTACTGGGGAGCCATGGAAGATTGTCAGCAGGTTATGAGATTCAGAAGACTGTGCCCCCCCTCCCCCCCGCCCAGGCTCCTACACTCTTCTTGGACCTCTAGGTCCCTGTGCCAGGACTTGGCCTGTGGGATGTGGTCACACTGTGCACACGTGTGTGTGTGTGTGTGCATGCACACACACACACACACACAACACACATGCTCGCCCTGGCCTGTCCAGCTGCTGAGCTTGCAGTTGGGCGACCCTTTCTGCTGAGCCAGCCTGGCCCCAGCCTGAGCTCCGGGGAGGATGGGCCAGGCTGGTGGGGTGGGGGTGGGGTCCTTTCTCAGCCATACACCCTAGCAGAGCCAGGAGGGCATCAGAGACCGAGGAGTACAATCCCCCCCACACCCATTATACAGATGGGGGCGCTGAGGTCCAAAGAAGCAGAGGCCCATCTAGAGTTGCACAACAACCACCTGGGTCAAGGTGTTCCTCACATCCTCAGTACACACCGGGCTTTGCGGCTTCCTGGCTTCGGCCCCCACCCCAGCATGTCCCTCCCTCCCTGCACCAAGCCCCTGATTTCCTCCTTGTATAGTCCTCTCTGATCCCTGACCCTGCGGTATTAGCAGGACCTGGCATCTGCACAGTCTTGCCCTCGGTACCGAGGAGGTGCATGACACAGATGGGCCACTCACTGTGCGTGGGTGGTCCATGGAGACCTGGGTGGCAGCCCACAGCCCTGTCTGCATCATGCATGTCAGCTGGTGCAGCTCATGCCCCGGGCCAATCTCAAACAGGCCAAGGCGAGCCTGCTTGTCTCGAAGACGCCAGAGGAGGCCACGGCGGCCAGAGGTCGAGGTGGCTGCTCTGCGTCCAGCCTCTGGGGAGGGGGCCAGGACCTGGTGGCAGGAGGCACAAGAAGCAATGAGCACATGGAAGCATCCCATAGGGGAAAGACCTGGGTTTGAGTCCCACCTCCGATACTTGTGAGCCCTCCTATTATCGCTCTCTGCCTCAGTTTCCTCGGTCGTAAAACAGGGATAATGCTGGTACCCACCTCACTGGGTGTTGTGATGGGCCACGCAGTGCCTGGCATGCTGTCAGCACCCAGAATAGAATTGTTATCAGTAGGTAGAGAATGCTTTCCGCAACCAAACCTGTCTCTCACCAGCTGTATGATCTTAGGTAAGTCACCTAACCTTTCTGCATCTCCTTTTCTCATCTGTAAAATGACAACTATAATAACTCCTTCGTGGCAGTTTGATATTTGCTCCAAGCCCAGGAACCCTTGATACGAGGAGCTGTGACGCCAGGGACTCGGTCATCTATTCCGCTCGTCTATGCGGAGTTCCTCCAGGCCGAGCGGAGGGTCAGCACGAAGCTGGGCTCACAGCGGCTGACCCATTCGTAGTGGGCACCCACCATGTGCCCAGCCCTGGCCGAGAGCTTGACTTGCTAACAGCCCTATGAAGGAGGAGCTTTTTCCCCGATGCGAAAACCGAGGAAGTTCTCTGGGGACACCCACCAGACTTCCCCCTCCATACCTGCGGCCCCGTGTGGGGCGTGCTCTGGTCCCCGCCCAGTGCTGGACCCCTCTAGGGCTTGGATGGGGGTGTGTCCGCGCTGCACGGGGAGCAGAGGCCTGGGCCCTGTCCCCCAACCCTTCCCTCTCCTGTCCTCTCTTGGGTCCGCACCTACCTCGCGGGGCCCCGGGCTCGGTGCGGCCATCGCCCCCGCAGCAGCTTCCCGGGCTCCGGCCGCGTCCCCGCCGCCGCGCTGCAGGAGCCGGTCCCCGCCCCTGCTCCTGGACCGACCAATAGCGCGGTGCCGGCCACGGCTGCACCCAATCCGCGCGGGAGGCGGTGGCGATCGCCTGCGGGTCCCGCCCCCGGGGCTGCAGCATCCTTCAGACCGCGGTCCAGGCCGGGGTGGGGCCGCCCCGCGTTGCTTAGGGTCGCCAGGAGGGAAGACCTCCCCCCCGCCCCGCAGCTCGTCTCCTCAAGTGGGGGGCTCGGGTCTCGGGGGGCCGTTTGGGGAGGCGGGAAACCTAAATCCAAATCCCGCCCACCCACTCTGGCGTGAAATTCCCACCGACTGTCCCTCGGGTGAGGAAACTAAGGTCCAGGGAGAGAAGTGAGTACCTCCAGGTCACACAGGAAGTCCGGGGCATGCATTCATTCAAGGCCTGTTTTGACCACTCACCAAGGGCAGGAGCATTGCTAGGCCCTGGGGGGTCAGCGGTGAGCGAGAGGGAGGAACACAGCTGCCAGCCTGATCTTTTAAAAGCATAAAATCGGATGATGTCACTCTCATGCTTAAAGCCTCCAGTGGCTTCCCTCTGCACTGGAACAAAATCCACCCCCCTCGCCACAGCCCCAGGCCCATCTCAAACCACTCTGCCTACACCCACCAGACAGCCACAAGGAGTTCCCCCAGCTGGTCCTTAGGCATAAAATTCTTTCACACCTGGGGCTTTTGCAGGTGCTCTTCCCACTGTTTGAAATCCTTTCCCCTAGGCTTTCCTTTGACCTGTTCTTTCTAGTCACCTTGCCCGACTCTAAGTGTCCCCTCATTGTTTTGTTTTGTTTTTTAAAGATTTTATTTGACAGAGAGAAAGCACAAGCAGGGGAAGTGGCAGAGGGAGAAGCAGACTCCCAGTTGAGCAGGGAGCCCAACATGGAGTTCGATCCCAGGACCCTGGGATCATGACCTGAGCCGAAGGCAGATGCTTAACTGACTGAGCCACCCAGGCGCCCCAGTGTCCCCTCATTCTTGATCACATCACCTTGTTTTATTTTCTTCATCACACTTAACACTGCCAGAAATCATCTTGTTCACTTATTTATTATATTTCCCCCCCATGATGGAAGCACCAGGAGGGCAGGAACCATGCTGGGCTCCCTTCTTGGCTCAGTGTCTGGCACAAACCAGTGTTTCATAAGTATATGCTGAACCAACGTGAGTAGGATGTGCAAAGGGCCTCAGTGAATCCCAGGTAATGAAAGGCCAGGGGAGCTGGAGTGAGAAGAGAACAAGCATTCAGGTTCTCTTATGTGTATGAGAAAGATGCTCAGATGTTCTTAAAAGGCCATGGTTGTCATGTATAGTCACATTGGAGGGGCCAGAGTGTGTGTATGGGGGGGAGGAATCTTTGGGTGACTCAGGGCAGAGGATGGAGCCTTTGCATCAGGAAGGTGACTGGTGGGGGGAGGGGAGAAAAGGGGAGAACTGACAGGATTTGGGATCATGCAGACGGGGGCTAGGAGGAGGAGGCCAAGGTCAGTGATGTGTGCCAGGCTTCTGGCTGGGGTTAGAGCCACAGGATGATGCCAGTCATGGAAGGGGCTGGGAGGGGAAACTGGGGAGGGGGGAGTCTGAGAATTCAGATCATGATAGGATGAATTTGAGGAGCCACTATAACATCCGATGGCAGTTAACTGGTGCATGGGCAATACGTCGGAGCTCAGGAGGAGGGCCTGGGTAGGGACAAGTGTGGGGTGAGGCTTGTGACCAAGTCCCAAGGAGCCCACCTCGTCATGGCGGAAGTGGAGCGTGGGAGACATAAAGTATGAGAACGAGTCCTCATGGACACCGAGAGCATCTGAGGTGCATCCAGGGGGATGTCACAGGCCAACATGGGGTCACAGGGGGTCTGAGTGGGTGCAGCCCTCCGGGAGTGATGCTGAACACAGTGAAGGTGAGGAGCTGCAGGCAGCGGGCTGGACATCCTTTTGGGAATATGGCTATTTAGGGGAGAGGGGGAGACCTGGAGAGAATTATTGGGTTGACGGAGGGTCCTTTACGTGGGGGCCTGGGCATGCTCATGAAACACCAGGAGGAGCCTGGTGAGAGGCAGGGGCTGTCCCCATGAGAAGGGCACCATCGGAGACAGGATACTCCTGCTATAGCAGGGGAAGAGGATGGGGCAGATGAGGGCAGGGCGGTGTGCCTGCAGCCAGCCTCTGCTCTCGGATGAGGGAGACGTCTCTGCTAACTGGAGTGCACATCATCCAAGGTGTGACAGAGGCTTAAACTACGCACCGCGGACGGGAGCCCCAGCTGCGTGGGGCGGGGGGTGTGGTGGGATTGCGGTGGGGGGAGACAGGGCTGGGCCTGTGCCAAATGACTCATCCTGACCAGAGGAAGCCCTGCTCTGGTTTCCCAGCTCTCACTGCTCAGAGCCACACTAGGTTGGGCTTCTGGGTACAAGAGATGGACGACGGACTTGGGTTTTTAGGGGACTGGCCCGAGGGTCCCTAAAATACCAGTGCACGCCGGCTGGGCTGGCGCAGGGGAGGCACAGTAGAGGCTGATGTGGTGTGTGGCACGTTGCCAGGCCTCCGCAGACTCCCCATCCGTGAGCTGCACCAGGCTGGAGCCACATCTGTTTCAGTCCCCACTTTCTCCTGGGTCCAGCACAGGGACAATCTGGGAGGCACCGGAGGCACACTGCGCGAACCAGTCTCATGACCTGAGACCAGCCCCTCTCCAGCCCCTGAGCAGCCCAGCCTCCCCGGTCAGGGACGGCACAGAGACAAACACATCATCAGTGTTTATTGTTCAGCTCTCCCCAAGAGGCCAGCGCTAGGGCTGGGGGGCTGGGCCTCCTGTGAGAAGCAGTTGGTCCGGGGGCCCACTGTGGCCACCCTAATGGACCCTGAGGCCTGGTGGTAACCCCAGAGCCTGTCAGTCCTCCCCTTAGGCTTTGTGAGGCCCAGAGCAATGTCAGACCTGGGAAAGCTGCCTCCGAGGAGGAGCAGGACATGTGGGAAAAGGTCGCATGATGCCTCAGAACCTACCAAGTCCGACATCAGCAGGTGACAGGAGGGAAACTGAAACAAGAGGGTAGAACCCAGGGGAAAAGGCAACAGGGAGTCTGAAGGTGAGGTAGGGATGACCGGCATCTTTCAGGCCCTGAGCCAGAAAGGGGTGAGGGGGAGGCTTCCAGGTAATCGTCCCTCCTGGCTTCTGGAAGGTTGAGCAGGGAAGGAGCAGGCCTGTGTGGTAGGTCCCAGACAGCTCCATCCCACAGGGATGTCTGCAGGGCAGCCAGGCTGGAGGGGGCTGCAGTGCCTGGATGGGTCCTATGCACCCCACCTTTGGAGGGGAGGCAGAGGAAAGGCCAGCAGCCTCAGCCCTGCTGGGCCTTCACTGAACCTTTTTGGTCACTTTCTGGTTCTTCAGCATCACGTAGGTGATGAACAGTCCTGGAAATACACAGACCAGAAAAGCCAAGTAAGATCCAGGCTTCGGGCTGCTGGGAGGCCAGAGCAGCTCACAGCGTGGTGGAGCAACCCGCACACGGGGCCAAGCACCTGCCCAACCACCCTCCAGGCCAGCGTCACCACCCGGGTCACTCAGCAAGCCACACACCCAGCCCCTTGTATTCAACAAACATCAACGAGTGCCAACACAGGCGAATGGCTACACTTAGTATTTCAGATTCCACAGGGCACAAGACCCACTCAATTATCCATCTACCCACCCAATCAACCACCTGTCCACCCACCCACCTGCCTACTCCACATCCACCACCCACCCCACCACCCAGTCATCCAAGTGACTCATCCAAACCACTTTCTTGGGCACCAACTCGGTGCCAGGAGCTGAGGACATAATAGTAATGATGAAGCTACAGTCCCCGGCCCAGAGAAGCCCACACATAAACGCTGGGAGACAGAGAGGGGCAGGGGTCATGAGCCAGTGGGTGACAAGGGGGTGAAAGGTGACTGAGGTGTGAGCAGAGTGATGATGGTAGTGGCAGAGGGAGCAGGAAGAAGGGAGACACCCCATTAGGGCCATCACATTTGAGACCAATGAGCCTGAGGCATGGGGACAAGCAGCCTGGAAGGATGAACAGGAAAACCCCGGGGGGTCAGCTGGGGGCCAAGGGCTAAAGTGTGGAAGCATGTTCAGGGGATGGGAGAGGGTTGTGGGAACCCCCAGACACCCTGCTCAGGGTTGAGGGACTGATGACTTACCCACAAACAGGAGCAGCATGAGGCCGGCGGCCAGCGGGATGGCGACAGCGTAGGCTCGGGGCAGGAAGTACTTGTGGATGACATGCTGGCTGTCGATGAATGGCTGGTATCGAGGACAGAGCTCTGGTGAGCGCTCCTTGCCTGGCCCAGCCCTTCAAGGCCAAACACCGCCCTTCCTCCATCTCAGGGGCTAACCCCAGTCAAAGCACTGGGACAGCACCTGGCTTTGCTTTAAGATGATGCTAATCTGGGGTGTTCTGGCTTGTTTCCTTCATTCACTTACTGAATAGTTGTTCACTGCACACTTGCCTGATGCCTGCCCTAAGGTGGTGCTGGGGACCTGGCAATGAACAGAAGACAAGGGCCTTGCCCTAAGGCACTCCCAGCCCTACAGGGGCAAAGGTACAGGAGGAATCCTCAAGTGGGCCTCCATTTTCCTCCAAAGTTCTTTAAGTTTTAGCCCTCCAAACACACTGCACTTCTTAAGCAGTAACCAACAAATTTTCCCACACGAAAAAAAAATCCTAAAAGCCCTCACAAAATCTACTGGCACTCATCATGCCCGGGAGCCAGCAGGATAACCCAGAAGGACCAGAACTCCAATCAAAGGCAAAAGTGAATCAGTAATAGGGCTTTCCAGTGTAGCGTTAAGGGCCCGACCCTTCTTCCTGAGCTTTAGTTTCCTCACTTATAAACTGGGACACCTCCAGCATCCTCTTAGTGCTGTTCTGAAGATTTCAGGAGATGAGGGCAGGGAAAGCACCTAGCACAGTGCCTGGTACATGGCAGCTGCTTAAATGATGCCAGGGGTCAGCTTCAAGATCCAGGGGTCGAAGGTGAGACGGGGTGGGGGGGGCACACATACCAAGAGAATCACCCAGGCGGTGTAGTAAGTGAAGATGATCAGGCTAACGGCGACGAGGCCGAGTCCCACCACCTGGTCTGTCCCCGTGGCCTGGAGAAAAGGAGGGCTCAACTGACGAAGGAACTCCCCGTTTAGATGCACTACTGGCGGGTGGCGTCGCAGCCTGATTGCGCTCTGAGCTTCCCATTCACTCCACAGATGCAGACAGGCCTGACCAGGTATCACTTTCTAGGCTCGGAGAGTGCGGGGCCGCGGCGTTTTCATTCGTACAGTGGGCCCGCGGGACAGCAATCCGGGCTCCGAGGGCCTAAGCCCCGGCTCCCGGGCAGACCCCAGCCCCAGACGCCCCCCGCGCCCCCAGCACTCGGCCCGGAGCTCACCATCTCCCCCGCACTCGCACACCCGAGCTGCAAGCCACCGCAGATCCGGATCCGGGCCCTTCAGGCCCTGGGCCGCAGGGCACGCCGGGAGTCGTAGTCTTTAGGCGGGCCGGGGACGACGTGTCCCTAGACAGGAGGGTGCCGCCTCCCCCTTCGCATGCCGGGAAATGTAGTTTCCAAGGGTATTGCGGGTCACGCTGTTCCCCGACTCTCCCTAGGGAATGGAATCGAATGGGGGACCCAGACTGGCTGGCACTCGTGCCGTCAGTCCTGCCGAACTCGCCCCAGAAGCAAAAGTCCATCTCCAAATATCCCAGAATCCCAAAGCCAGAGCGGTATGGCGTGGGAGGTCAGAGGTCCCAGGATTCAGATGGGGAAAATGAGGCAGAGAGGGGCGAAGACTTGGAGATCACAATTCGAGTCAGTGGTGAAGCCGAGACCGGAACCCGGGGGCCTTATTTCCTAGTATCGAGGCCCCAACTTGTCTGTCGAGAGGGGTGCAGAGAGTGTTGCCCCACCTGGGGTGGGAGGACGAAGGGGGTGGCCCAGGTCCCCAGAGATGGGAGGATTCCCACTGGCTGTGAGGGGAGCGCCCCCTTACCATCGCCTGCCTTCCTAGGCGACCCTTCCTAGGTGTCCTCTCTTCGCTGCAGGGATGAGGTCGGGGTGACCCTCCCTTTCCTCACCATCTGCCTTTTGGGCCCTGGGTGTCGCTGCAGCCCAGGCAGCGCACAGAAGGATCGTCGGACTGGCCCCCGCACGCAGGTCCCTCCCAGTCTGGAACACTGTCTTCCCACAGCTTGTGGGGCTGGCTGCCCCTCACCCATCAGGTCTTACTGGGATGCCACACATCCTACGGAGGCCCCTTCACAGCTGGGCAGGGGCTCCCTCCTGTCCTCCACAGCCCCCAGAGTGTCTCTGTGGATAATGCTTGTCGTTTTAGCTAGCTCATTTCCTTGTTGATCTGGCCTGTGAGCTCCATGGGGATAGGGTCTGCGGTCACGGCTGTATCCCTAGTGCCCAGAATGGGGAGTGGGGGAGGGGCGGACACACTTGCAGAGGTGTGTCTGAACCAGGTATGGTTTGCTCCTGCTGGCAGCATGTCTCCTTGAGTCACTGAGCCCGTCTTCTATGGAGACTGCACTCTTCAAAGCTGATAGGAACAACTCTTCTTGGCCTACAGCCTAACGCCTTCCCTCTCAGTCTCAGGACAGACTTCGGGCTCAGCCAGGAGCCAACTTTGCCCTCCCCAGGTGTGCTGTGCAGAACAGAGGAAGAGACTTAAAATCAGCCTCCAGGGTTTAAAGGGGCCATGAGTGGGTGTGGGCCCTGAGAAGGGGGTGTGGACAATGCAAAGCTGCAGCAGGGAGGAGGTATGGAGGCCTGGCCCCTTCTGGCCTGTCCACAGCCACTGAGGCTTCCTGCCACGTCTGAGCTAATGAAGGGCCAGGCTGACTTGCCTTTCTCAGAGCTTGGCTAAGTTGTTGGCTCCCCCTGCTGGTTGGGGGGCAGGAAGTGAGGGGCTCAGGCCTGGAGACCGCCGTGGCCTGGGACTTGAGAGAGGTTGGGAACTCAGCACCTCCTGTGCCAGGCCGTACAACCACTTTCTTCTTTCAACCACAGGCCCGTTTACAGCTGAGGAAACTGAGGCCCAGACAGTTATTTGTCTCAGGCTGACTGCTGGGAAGGTCCGGTGGTTAGAACTTGTGCTGAGACCAGAGCTGCTACTTAACTAGGTGTGAGGGTGGCAAGAAATTGCCCTCCTGGGCCTGTTTCCTCCCCGGAAACCTGGAGCAATAAAGGTGGTAATGGGGCGCCTGGGTGGCTCAGTTGGTTAAGCAACTGCCTTCGGCTCAGGTCATGATCCTGGAGTCCTGGGATCAAGTCCTGCATCGGGCTCCCTGCTCAGCGGGGAGTCTGCTTCTCCCTCTGACCCTCCTCCCTCTCATGCTCTCTGTCTCTCATTCTCTCTCTCGCAAATAAATAAAATCTTAAAAAAAAAAAGGTGGTAATGATAGTGACAGTGGCCAGGACAGGGAGGACCTTGGCCACCCACATCCTTCCCCATTCCCAGATGTCAACCTACACACCCGGCTTTCTTCTGATGCTGACCACGCCGTAGACCAACAAAACCCAACATGCCTTAACAAACAAAAACTGCAACATTTAATTTTTTCCCCCAAACCAAGACATTGACACTAGGCTGATTTCCCCTTACAATGTAATTTTCTAAAACAGAAGCCGGGACAGAGATACAAACACAGCCCTCTGAATAAGGGGTGGTGGTGGCGGCAACATTCTCTTAGAAAGGAGGGGATTTTTTTTTTTTTAAAAGATCAAAACAAAAACAAAAACAAACCCACCCCCACCCCCACCCATTTCCCAGCTCAAGAGAGAGGAGAACACGGCAGATCTCCATCCCAGCAGATCACGCCGTGTGGTCAGTTTGGGGTGACCAGAAAAAAAAGTAACCTAAAAATATTGTAGACTTTATTTTCTTTAAATCTCCTAGTAAAAACGTTAAACTGTCTTTCAAGAAGATTCCAAACTGGCATTGCATAGACTGATTCCTTTCCAAAAATATCTCTAATATAGTCTATCTTTCTCTATATATAGAATTTTAAGTCCAGGAGCTGTGTGTGCCTGGCGGGAATTCACTGAGCTTGAGGGGACCCAGAGGTGGAAGAAAGGGCTCCCACGTGGGGATGAGGCTGGGGCTTCAGGCTTCTGGCTCCAGCTAGTGCTAATTTGGATGTGGCCAAATTCTCAGTCTAAGTACCCTAGCCTAGGGCCTGGCAGGGGAGGCTGTGGCAGGCTCTGTGTCCTTCTGGGGCGACCGTCAAGCCCAGACCTCGCCTTGGGTGGGGCTAGGGTTCCTGGTTTGGGGGACTCCCCAACAGCACCAGAGCTACTTGTTTTATACCTGAAGCCCAGAACTTTGAGCCAGATCCCAAATACACCCTGAATGTACTTCCCCACTGGGCTGAGGTCATGCAGACACAGAAGGGAAGGAGAGTGCTCTCCCATCTTCTGGGGTTCCCTTCATCTGGAGACAGCACAGCCAGCTCCCTTGTAAAGTGCCAGGTGTCTGCGGAGCAGGAAGAGACCTGCAGGGCTAACCAGAGCCTTCTCCAGCCGAGCAAATGCTCTGCCCTGTCTCAGCAGGCAGCTCCTCACATTCATTTTCTAAGAGTTAGGGGATTAAACACAACAACAAAGAATCCTAGAAATGCTCTGCTCCCCAGGCCAGGAGGTTCCAAGACAAAGGCTCCAACTCTTGCCAGCTGGAGCGTAACAGCAAGGAGCCCTCCCAGCCTCAGGGAGGACCCCCCACTGGCACTCGCACTCCTACCAGGGATAGAACCAGTATCCAGACCCCCAGCCCTGCTGGGACCCAGCCAGCAGGTAGGGCAGAGAACAGAACCACCTCCCCTCACCTGGGGGAGGAGAAAATACCCAAACTGTGAAATTTTAAAAAAAAAAAAGGAAAGGAAAGAAAAGAAAAGAAGGGGAAATTAAAAAAAAAAAAAAGGTACAGGACTAAGTAAACACCAGCCTGCTGGGTTCACACAAAACGAGTGAAACTTCAGAGTGGCAGGAAGTCTGTCCAGGGACTGGTGGGCAGCCAGAACCCATCTTCAAGCAAGTAAGGACAGGGGAGGGGGCGTGGCAGACAGCAGAGGCTTTAGTGAGGGGCGGGGGCAGGGCCAGACTGCTCCCCGCCTCTCCTTCGCCCAGAGAGAGGGATGCTTCCAGAGGAGGGCTGAGGCTTTTCTGGCCAGGAAGCCAGCTCCAGGCCGGTCCAGTCTCAGCCCACCTGCCTCTCCAGCATCAGCCCCAGCCTGGGCTAGCCGACCCTGCAGGGACAGAGAGGGGCCTTTGCTTGCCAAGCCCAGCCCAGCCTGACTGCCAACGTCCAAGGGCTTGGGAGGCACCTTCCGTGGCTTCCTACAGGAAGCCAGCTGCTCAGGATCCAACCCGAGCAGAGGAGAGCCACCATCAATGCTCAGACCTTTCTCAGCATGGGCGTCAGGCCTGAGCTGGAGCTAACTGGGGGAGAGGCGGTGCCACGTTCCAGCCGGGCTGCTAGGGGCAGGCGCTGACCGCACAGCAGGCAGTGCTCAGAAACCCTTGCGAAGGGCTCAAGGGAAAGGCAGACCAGGGCCAGTGGGGCTGTGCTGAAGGCAAGCATGTGCAAAGTGCAGGCTGCCAGGGCAGCAGGAGAACATTCGTTGGGGAAGGGGGTCTCAATCAGGAGTGTGGATGGGTCTGAGGTCTTGGTTCCCAGGAGAAGGCTGCCAGCGGGTCCCCCGGGACACAGGGAAGGAACAGCTGAAGCACTAAGCAGTCAGAGGACTATGGTGGCAGGATTCTGGGGGAGGACTGGCTCTCCCAAGGGCGAGGGGGCAGTGGAGCAAGGCCCTGCCAGGGCATGGCTGAGCCAATGCTCCCAGAGTGAGCAGAGACACAGGGCAAGTGGCCCCTCGGCCACAAGCATCCCTGCATGTAGGTGCTGCCGCATGTCCTCGCCGAGGGGCCAGATTGGTCTCCAGCCGAGGCAGGCCTGGCGACCTTTGTCTTGTCCACCTGCTTCATGGACCGGCACGTCCTGCCCCCTAGTGGTTCAGAGGAGAATATTCACAGTGGTGCCCGGGGCCTGGTAGGCCAGGAGGGTCCCGGGATGGATGGAAGGACAATGGAATGCTGCTTTGAGGCAGGAGTGGGGCTGGAGTACACGGAGGAGGCACAGATGAGATGCAGCGCGGATGGCGATCCGAAGGGGAAGGTCCCTCGTGGAATGCTGCGGGCTTGCATGCCCGCGGACGCAGGGCCCTTCTCCAGCCCGGACACCCGCTCCTCAATGGCTTTCAATCACAACAGGCTCATAGACCCCAGAGGAGACCCTGCGGGGGAGGGGAGCAGAGAAACAGGTCAGCTTGTCCTCGCAGATGCTCTTGTGGGGCAGGCCCTGGGAAGGACTTCACAAGTTGGCCCTGTGAACTAACTGGCCCTGTTTCACAGAGGGGCAAATTCAGGCTCAGAGAAGTTGAGTCACTTGCCCAGGGCAACACAGATGTGAAGTACTGAAGCCTTTGGGATCTCGGAGCTGGTGTGAGCTGGGCCTGAGCCCTTCCTGAGCACGAGTGGCTTACACATAGAGGTGTGCTACACCCATCCTCATGGCAACCGTGGCAGGGAAAGACTGCATCCTGCCCCGTTTGACAGATGAAGAAACTGAGGCACAGAGGGATGATGAAGCTTACCAAGAGGCCAGAGACCCACCCACAGAATCATGGACATTCAGGGCTCGGCGTGCAGCTCTGCTAAGACCTTGCTCCTGATTGAACTGGTTTCTTCCATCCCCTGAACCCATTTTCTCACTGTCATAGAGGGCTAGGGAGGGGTGTGTAGACCTCGGAGCAGGTGCCCTCTGTCTTCCTCTTGCCCCCCTCCCCGGGGACAGCCCAGGAAGCCACGGGGAGACGGCAGATGCAATTTCGAGCCTCGGCCAGCAGGTGTCAGTACAGCAGCACCAGAGGGAAGGTTGGGGGCCACCGCCCCCCTCCCCCCACCCCCCACCCCACGCCCCCAGCCCAGCCAGGTCTCCATCCACCCCCCCCCCCCCCCCGCCCCCGCCGCCCTTGGATGTGAAATGCGCACTTTCCTGGCCAGCCCAGGGGAACAGGGGGAAAGGCTTCAGCACAGCCCTGCACAGAGGGAGCTCCTCTACTCACTGCCTCACTCATGAGCCAGGAAACATGCTACAAACTGTAGAGTGGAAGCACCAGGTTCAGCCTACCACACCCTCACAGGTAAACATCACACAAGCACAAATCCGCATTGCTCACTGCTGTATCCCCGGCACCTAGCTCAGTGCTTGGTGTGTGGCTGGTGCGCAATAAATATTTATTCAACAAATAAAACGAGTCATCATCATCATTTTTAGGGGTTCCCAGATCCAGAAGGAAGGGAAAAGCAGGGTCCCAAACAAAGACGGATGAAGCCCGCGCCGTGTGGCCAAGCCCTGTGTCAGGCACTTTCCAAGCTACCCTTGGAACCAACCCCAGGCTTCTAGGTGAGACAGGGTGGCCCATGCCATTTGACAGACAGGGAAACTGAGGTTCAGAGAGGAGTGAGTGGTCCAAGGTGACACTGTGGTGGGCAGAACTGCTATTCAAAGCCAGGTCAGCGTCTGTCGAGACCGTGCTCTCAGCGGCGTGCCCCAAGGCCACCCTAGTGACCCGACCCCAAACCGCGACCCCTACCTGTTTGCCAGCTGGATGCCGCTCAGTGTGGCGGAGCCATCACGGCTCACGAACAGCCGGAGATTGCTGTCTGTGGGGACACAGGCGGGGACGGAAGCTGAGTGGGGCAGGGGCAGCCGGGGCGGCCCCGGAGCAGGTAGCACTGTCCCCCAGGCCTCCCCGCACGGGCAGCTCACCCTCAGTGTTGCTGCCGTCCGTAAAGTCCTGGCTTTGCATGATCTTCTCCACGATGTCGTCCGCGTCGATCCGAGTGTCATCCACCCAGGTCGGGTGGCTCTCCACAGAGTCCTTCTTCCGCCTGGAGTGGGTCAGGGCAGAGTCACAGCGGTCGGGCCAGGGACAGGTACAAGGATGACAGTGGGGAGCACCTACAGCTCAGGCTGCTCTGAGTGCACGTGAGGACCTATTCCCAGTCGCACTCTTTTGACCCTCACTCAGCCCCCAGGGCAGGTACCATGACCCGGTTTTATGGATGAGGACCTGGAGGCCCTGGGAGGTTACCTAACCTTAGCCTGAGAGGCCGCACTGCATGTAAACGGGGGACTTAGGTCCCTAAGCCACACACAACAGCGTGTGCCTGCCTGGCCCAGGCTGTGCCCTTCAGGTCCACCCACTGGCTGAATCATCACCA